AATTGTGAACTTTTTTCCGGATTTTAGAATTCAGTTATGAAATAGCTATCAACTATAATAAAATAAAAATCATTTGAAAATGAAATAGTTTTATAGAAAAGCTTATAATGATATTGTTTGACGTCAAATTCTACTCTATGCTAGATGTTAGATATCATCTTATCACATTAAATTTTGATATCTCCAATGAAAATCAAAATTAAAAATTACAGAATTTTAATTTGAAACATCAAAATCAAAAGTAACTAAGAATCAAGTTCTATCATTTCATTCACTTTTTGATTTCGAAAGCAATGTAGTTTCATTTTCATGTAAATAATAAATGTAATCAGGAAATAAAATACAATAAACATAGGATTAGGATAAAAAATTTAATATATAAGTTGATAAAAAATTCGAAATATTTATATAGAAATTATGCATATGCACAAAATTTTACATAAAAAATAGAATAAATATAATTTTTATTAAAAAACCATGAATAAATAAAAATATTTAATATTTAAAAATTATTTATTAAATTATATAATATATAAGAAATTTATTTTTAAATGAAGTTAAGTTTGATTAGTAAAGATAATATAGCTAAATAATTTTTTTCTAATTTTTTTATATAATTTGATTAAACACTTTAAAAAAATTTATGATATAATTTTATTTGAATAAAAAATATTTTAACTCAAATGTCAATTTTTGTAATATTGATAGTAATATGAAATATAATTTTTTATAAATGAAATTATTGAGGATGATTTCATATAAATAATCTACATAATCGTGATGTTTGATTAATATGATTGATTATCAAAGTTTGATTATTGGAGATTAATTGTTTGTTTCATTATTATTACATAAGTATCTATAAAAAAATTAGTATGTTGATTTTTATAATATTTTTCCATACGTGTATACATATAAGTTTGAATATGTGATAATAATTTTATCTGAAATTAATTTTAAATTAAAAATTTGATTTAAAAATAATAATTAACATTCAAAGTTAAGATCAAGGTATGTTGAAATTGACCACTTACATGATTAAAAAAATGCTCATTGCTTTTAAAATTACATTCCATTCTCTTCACGTGAAATGTCAATCATTTGATTTCAATTTTACATTGTGTTTCATAAAAAAATTTTTCATGTACAATAAAATGGAAAAAACTTCCTTGATGATATAATTGCATAACAAAAATAGGTTACTAGGATCCATCACCAACCGATGACTCATCGTTGCCAATTTCTAAATAAAGTACTTGTAACTATATGCTACGTGTTATAGTATAGGAGAGTGGGGCTATAGTAAATGATTATAATGTGATGACGACTATAAGAAATATTCATCACATGCATACGCTTCGTAAATTATGAGTGCGGCATGCTGTATCTCCAAGTCTACTCTTGTTGTCTTTTGCAAACAAACAAATCCAACTACTCTTACTCTCGTTTTTCCAATAGAGGAGAGACAACCAGTTTCCCAAAAAGATTTCCCTAAGTAAAAAAAGTAGTATTAATATTCACTACTTTTGTCTTGCTGCTCCTATCACTATCGTCAAATGATTTTTAGATGGATTTTTGATGAGAAGAATATCATTTGTTTGCATGCGTAAGTATAACACTTCAAATACTTGTTGTCTGCACAACGAATCTGTCAAATTCATTTTTCGTTTTGAAATGTATTGACAAGAGTATAGTGGATTGATTTGATTTTTTTTTTTGTAGATATTCATTGTTTCAGAAGTAAATAAGTTGCAAAAGGATTAATAGTCTTTGGCTATCTTTGCAAAGATTCATTCAAAAACAATTTGATTTTGGGGGCGGCTAGTTATTCCTTACATGGGGCTAATTAATCTTCATTCTAGTTTACGGACTTCAATCATTGGGCGGATGGGGCTATAGGGTCCATGTGGGAAAAGTTGAACTTCGCGGGTACACTTCTTTTTTATGCACTTTAAAGATGTCATGGTGTCACCTGCCACGTAAGAAGCTGACTGCCATCTTCGCGATCTAAAAATCACGTTAAGGTTTTTGGCAGCGAAAACGAGCTCGTGGGTGCGAACAAAAGAATATGCACAATTGGCAGTTTAGACGTTGGTGCTCAACGCAAATGCATCGAATAATTCAATGACTACATTGAATCTTTTGCTATGCTGCACTGCACATGCTTTTTTTCCAAGTTTAGGAAATTTTGCAGATATGCAGTGCATGTGCCCATCACTAAAGTAACAGAAGACGTTCAAAAAAATCCAATCCCATCGCATCCGCATTGAATACCAACTAAATCTAACACCACTTGTACCTTCATCAAAAATTTGTACCCATTAGCTCGTTTTTGTAATCCATTCCAACATTGCCGTGGCAGGTGACATCATGACATCTTTGGAGTCCATTAGAAAGAAGTGTAATTGCGAAGTTCATCTTTTCTCACACGGACCCTATAGCTTCATTCGTTTGATGACTGAAGTCTGTATAGTAGAGTAAGGGCTAATTAACCCCAGATGAGTTATAACTAGCTCCTCCCTTGTTTTGTTGCAACACATCGTACTATAAACACAATGAAAGTACAAATGGTTCATACATTTACATGTTATATAGAGAAGAAATTATGACTGATATTTTACAAACTTTTAGTGTACCGCAACCAAACCTGTTACCAAACTGATTTGAGATAATTATGTGATATGCTCCAATCTTTTTGGAATCAAAGTAAGAAGAAAAACATGTGGATTGATACAATTGTAGGTGATTTGTCATCATCCCCGTGTAATGTAGATATGAAGATCACTATATACTTCTATTATATGACAGTTTAGGATTTAGCTCCCAATCATAGTTATTTATCACACCAATATGTTTATTGGCCATGCAATCTTTTCACCAAGTCTCGAATCGTTTTAAGACATGTATGACATGTACGGTGTATCATATTGTGTAAAACAATGAGTGATGGGTATGAGTCAGCTATTTATGTTCTGCAAGGTTCCATCAAGAAATTTTTTTAAATAAAATGTTAGTAGATTGTATTTGACATTATGTTTTTGATACGCGAACAAATTGAACATCAGTTTGATTATCTTGATATGTATATGTATAGTTTTGTCACATCATCAATTCACAAGCATAATTTTGTTCAATCTATCTTTCATGATTGAAGAATTCAACTTATTTATACTATATGTGATAAATTACTCAATATGATAACTTTGTTATTTCATCTATCAAAATAACTATATTGATTTTGAAACATATTAAGATTAGACTATGTACTAGATTGTAATATTAAATTAGAAAAAAATAAAATATTTTTACTATTATAACATGTTTTATCATACATATAAAAAGTATTTGTAAATACGTACAAAATATGTTTCATAATCTAAATAGATCATTGTTGAAAGATCTAAAATGAGTTGTTTTGAAATGTTTGAATACATCAAATCAAAACAACACATAAATAGCTGATTTTGTTTCTTGTATGTATTTTTGTTATCTCACATTGTATATAGTTGATTTTTTAAAGACCCAACATTTTAAAAATCACATGAATATCATATTTTCTTTAATCTAAAAATTATCAAATATTTTAACAATAACAACAAAAATTGAATAAATAAACAACATGAAATGATATCAAGCTTTTTCTAATACCACTTTTAAAAATATCGAATATTTTGTTTACTAAAAAATTAATTCAAAATATGTACACATTCATTCATATTATTTGTGATGAAAATTTGAAGATTTAATTCCATGACCATTTGATAATTTTACTAATCAAATGAATGTTTTTATTGAAAAGTCAACTGAATTTTATTGTATACATTTTCATACAGATATTATTTTAATATACATCTCAAATTTTAATGAAATTGATTCAATCTGTGTACATTAAAGCTGTTGTGAATAAATTTTATTTATTATTTAGATAAACTTTACTCTAAAGGATTTAGAGTATTAATTTTCAATCATATTCAATTTAATATTGAAAATTAAAAGTACTTTTGACAAGAAAAGGTTTCTTATTTGTTCAACCAATGTAGTATTCCAGTAGTAATATGAACAACAATAATATAGCAATACTTCAAATTTAATTGAGATTAAAAATTAATGTACTGTATGTTGATGACATTACGTGTGGAATTTTTATAAGAATTTCAAAAAACCAAATTTGGAAAAGATTTTTTAGTTTTTTCTGTAATGGTAATAAGATTGCAAAGCATTTTCAAATTATTAGATGAAAAGTAGCTCTAGAATAAAAGTGATTTTTTTAGCGACAAATCTATTTAAAATTCAATATATAAGATTACTTTATGGGTAGGTTAAATAAATTAGATCAGACAATGATTATCATGATTAATTTAGTCAATCAACAACTCTTATATTCAAATTTTTTTATGACGGTCTACAGTTAATTAATGATATACGTCTAAAACATTTGTAACCCAGCAAAATAAGGCAAAATTCAAAACCCGGTACAATATTGAATCTGATTGTTAAACACATGCAAGCTATGAGTTTTGGAATAAATCAACAATTAGAGGTGCCGCATACTCCACGATGCTTGGGATATTGTAATGCGATGATGCAGCTATTTCAGACAAGAACATTAGATTACACACGTCGTCATCTAGCCTCTTAAATCTCTCACAGTAGCTTCTATCAATCCAATAAAGACAACGCGCCCAGCTTTATCTCCGAATCAAGAGAGGAATTCCCGAGCAGTCAAATTGAAAAGAATAAATCCATGCATTGAAGTTCCAAACTGATGCTGATGCTTTACGGTTTTCTCACTTCGTGACTCAATCTGCACAAGCTGAACGTTACGGCGCAGCTAAATCTTGAGATAGCTGAGGGCGTACACACTTAACATCTCCAAAGACCTCAAGAAACGACCACTTGCAGTATATAATATGTCATATTACATTCCATTCAGAGTAGAAGAGTATGAAGTTAATAAATCAACCATATGATGTTAGTCCAACAATCTAATCTCAGTGAACCGTGCTTAGGCCTCAGAAGTAAACTTGCAGACATTACGTGGAAAAGTTAATTGTGATTCAGAATTGACTCTGTAACAGTCCTACTTCATTGAACCATACTTAGACCTTGTTAATAAATTGGTATCTACTTATGGAACTTTACTAAATATGTTTACTTCTTCGGACCTATTATACCCGTAAAAAGAGAGTCATTGACTCCGGATTCAGCTTTCAAAAACCCTTTAAAAGCGGGAGTTCTCTTCTCAGTAATGATACTGATTGTTTGAGAGGAATCAAGGAAAGGAAAGAAAGCCTAAACACCTCATCAATATATGTATGCAACCTAAAATTATCCCCAATCTATCTGATGAGAAAGACATATTGGGATTTCCCACGAAAACGAAAGTATACACAAATGCAGACACATGGACGCACTTTAAGTACATCACGGTCAGTCGATCTGATGGCTGTAAGTTCAGGATCTGACGTGCAGAGAACACAATGGCTGGATTGACTCTCATGGCCATTGTACCAAGTTAAGACGATGATGCACCCGCCGAGAAGTAGCAAAGAGGGCTCAAAGACCCTCACGTTTTGTATGTACAATTACCTTCACCTCTGGATTGGATGAAAATATATACAGCGAGCTGAGCTGAGCTAAGGTCCTCAACTCCAACTGTATACAGATGGATGTAAGGCATTGACTACTATGAAAGATGGAAGCTCGCTCTTTACCTCCATTAGTCCCTCTTTGTCACTGGTTACCTCGCTTGGGCTAGGAGGTCTTCTGCCGACAAGTTACTAGCTCGGTCGTTTGGTGAGCTTTGGAGGGCCTAAAAATTTCCCTTCAAGGATGAGCATTGTCCTAAAGCTGCAACTTGTTTGAACAAAGCTTGGTTATAGGATCATTCGACTGTAATGGAGGCACCATGATTCCCCAAACGGCAATTTGTGCAGTATAGCCGTCTAGTAGAAGGTTTCCTCCTTTTTGATGTGGCCACTCGGCCTAGAGTCCGTGTCAAGCTCCAGACCTCCTTGTGTCAAGCGGTAAGGGAACGAAACTGATGGAGACATTGGCGACTTGACAATTTTGATAAGATAGTGTCCTGCAGGGTGCCAATTTAAAATTTGAGCTAATCAAGCCATCAGTCCAACATTATTACGTGCGGCATCTGTACCAGTAGGATGTAACCAAAATCTTTTCTGCTAAATGGAGACACGAACGCCGCAGGAGTCATCTTGCGCAGCCGTGCTTTACTCCACAGCTCATTAAATTTGCAGTTCCAGACCCAAGGTCTTAAGCCACGGGACTATCTATCAAGATCAGTACGATCACTGGGGAAGAGGATCACTGAATGACAAGTTTGAGAGTCTTGTACCTGAAACTGTACACTCGAGAACGAGCCGAACGTTGACAGAGTGGGCCCATTTGGTGCCCAAAGCAGCTGTTAGATGCTGTTCCAATCCCCCTTCTCCAAAATCGATAGGAATGGCCCGATTATGCGCATCTACCAGGTCAGGATAGTTAGTTGATCTTCATCAGTGGGAAAACGGGGTCTGGTTTTGTGGAACTAGAAAGGTACCACAACGAAAACAGAGCGCAATTGTCGGAAGAGAGCAACGACAGGGAAGCTTGATGCTACTGACATTTCAAAGTTTCTAGGAAACAAGTTTGACAGATGCAGAAATGGCTCATCACTCTATCATCACTTATCATCACTTGACAATATGATGGATACCATGAGGCGCGTTCGCTGATGCTGGACCGCTCCACTGGTTATCGCTCTTCGTTCTAACCTGATTCGTGACCAGGACAGGTATTCGAAAAGCCTCGGCAAGAAACCTGCTCAAGCGCAGCCATATGAGTTATAGTGAGGCAAGAGCAACCGCATGTAACAGAAGTAACATGCAGAACATTTGATGTTTTCTTCGTTGAAGGAAGTTAAGAAGGTTAGTTACTTCAGAATTGTTGCTTGCTGGCCCAACATCTCCTGTCTCTCGATAATGCGATCGCGCCCGTACTCGCTGTCAGAAAAGTCATTGAGCTACGTCAGTCTGAAGCAATAATCTGAAGTCTGAAACATAAAATCAAGAAATGGAATGTACAACTCTCCAAACACCTGAAGATGAGATATTGGTACCTTTGCAGAAGAGCTGCTACACTGTCGATGACGATTAATCTTGCAGATCGCTCAATGATGGCTTTCTCAAGCGCCCTCAAACTAGGATATCATGACGATGATAGATATAATCAATATAATAAGATAGGTCTCACACCCACAGCATGTGAAGCTAAGTGCAGAGAGCTGAGCTAAGCTAAGAAGCTTTAAGCAGAGTTTGTGTATACTATGTAGCCCAACTGATGCGCTAGAACTTGTACCAAGACTTCAATTCACACTTCTGGCGGTCGACAGTCGAAAGGAATTTTGCCACGCCTTGGTTTCAAAGTAGTTAAGGAAACTAGTTACCTTTCCATGAGATCATTCACGGAAGATGGATGCAAAACCAGAACTCGGAGGGCCAGCTGCACCAAACCAGTCAAGTCTTGTGAAACACCGATGGAGAGCACAAGGAGGTGGACAATGTCGTCAAGTAAAAACTGAGTCAAAAGCAGGAAGCTGTATTCAGATGTTGCATCCTGATGCTCGCAAAGTTGATAACATAAGCACAACGGAGGGTGAACTGCCTCCCGGTGTACCTGCTGCAGCATCTCCGCATCCCTGAAAATGTCTGGGAACTTATGTTGCGCTATCTCCATCATCCTGTCCGTAGGTAAATGATGGCTGGTAAAGGTTCAGTTGTCTCTTGTTTTGCTCACTGAAAGCCACGAGCAAGATATATGCTGGTGGGTCACGATGAGCATCCACTTTCAAACTTGCAAGCAAGGAACCCGCTCCGACTTCTAATGCTTAACGAACATGACATTCCACCGTTTGTGCTTATAAGGAGAAAAGCGGACCTTCCAGGAGAGAATTTGTGCTCAGTGTCGATGTAGATCACACTGCCATCAAGTCCGCCGAGGGATCTTGGCATGGCGGTCAATACAGATAACATGAGGCACATCTGCAGAAAGCAGTAAATTCACATTTTCATGAGACACACAAACAAAACATCACTCACCTTTCTGGAGTCAAGTTGAGGAAATCTACACTCTTGACTAAACAAACCATGAGCGCAGTGCAGTTATTTCCAGCTGGTTCCTATATTTCTCGGCATCAAATTTTAAAACCTACAGCAATCAGTGACTCATGAAACCCATCACACCTTACAGTGGCAATGATAAGTTGAATGCGAACCTGACTTTTTCCCACACCGGCAGCACCAACCACCTCAGTGATCAATCCAAAAGGAACACCTCCACACATCACATGATCCAGCTCTCGTAAGCCTGTGGGAAGATGGCCACCCGCAACTTCTTTCGCGTTTCGTTCTATCCATAATGACAGGACCTGCAAGGAAACATAATATATACTTCACAATTGCGCTCCAAGACCAGAAAAGACATCCAATGGACGAAGTCATATCAGAGAAGAGAAAATTGAAACATGTATCGTCACCTACTGAACGATATGGAGGGCAGACGCAGTCGTATATGCGAGCCAGGACAGACGAAAGGACAGGCAAGGGCATGTCCAGTAGCTCCATGAGCTCCAACTCCGTCTTGCAGAGTACATCCTACATCACGATTTACACCTGAGAAATTCATAGACATGTATCCAGATTTTCCGGTCCCTGGGGAAGCCGGAGGAAGCCAGAGGAAGCCGGTTCGCTAACATCCATGATCAAATATCTACGTAGCGATTTTAACAATGAGCTGATCTCATCTGGCATGACAAGGTTTGAGCTTTCTGTGGATACGGATAGAATTTGTGCATACACAAAGTCTATGAGTACCTTGGCAGAATGAAGACTTCGTGCAGAAAAAACATTTGCCGTAGAACCTGGCAGATTCATACTCCTCAGCAGCTTACGAGACATGACGAAATCCTTCGAGTTCCAATTCTAAACTTTCAATTCTTGAGCGCTCAGTCTTACATCCTTTCTGATAGTCGAGAACGCGTCGCTTATCCTAGAAAATCCCTCCCACAGCTCGTTTGTTAGACGTCCGCCATCGGAGCTTATAAATTTCGCGCTCTGGAATTGTAGAATTGCATGATTTGAAATGAGGGAGTATGCGTGCATGGTCGCTTCATAAAGTGAAAGACGAAGAAGATTCCTTTCAAAGCCCGGCATACGACCTGAATGCGCGAAGGCAAGCAAACCGAAAGAAGAGTTAGTTCTGTAGGGGGATTCTCAGTCCACGACTCACAAAATCTAAACCTGCGGTACGTGACTTTCTTTCCGCCCCCACTGCTTCACACGCATCATTACTGCTTGGTGTTGCAAACAACGCTCGGAAAGTATATTCCTGTCAAATCGGTGCAATGCAAGCTCGAAAGGAACGAAATTACAATCAGTACTGTAAACCGAAAATGGTCAGTCTGTCTTAGTCGATCTTGCTAGATGTGATGGTGATAGAGATTTAAGCATGATGGCTAGCCAAAGCACTTGTCATCCCTTAACTGTGTATGTGTGTCCCTCTACTAGCAAGTAGATTCGCCCTCTTGTCCACAAATTAGCAGTTGCTCTGATACGGACGTTCAGTATTGGTTGTTGCATAGGACAACGATGCCATACGGAGGACACGGGTGCTGGTAAAAAGTTTTTTAATGCATTTTTCTCGACATATGGTGAGTCCTCGGCCGATAAAGGGACAAAATTGAACGGGATAAATGTGAATTTCAAACGTTCAATTTAAAAAGTCGTAATCGGCTTTATTCAGAAAAAATTATGTACAGGAGCCAGTGTGTCAGTCACTCAAATCACTCGGCGTCAGTGAGAAGCTCGATGAAGGCTTTAGCCTGAGGGAAGGAGGAGACGAGCTCCGAGCGCTTGGCAAGCTCAAAATCTACGAACTCGAAGGCAGGAGCCACAGTACAACCTACGAACGAGTAATGATCCTCTTTTGATCTATCAGGAAGTTTCTCCACAGCTGCACTTGCAACATCCACTCGGTAGTCGCTCGTGGGGTACGCGCCGAACCAAACGTTGGGTGGGACGACGTACTGAGGCAGCTGCCCTGCTGCAATATCTCGACCCAAAACCGTGTGCTTCATCGCATTGGTCTCACCATTCAGCTCAAAGACCGTCAGCGGCTCGCCGTCATAGAAGTGCCACACCTCGGCCGACGGAATTCGGTGCAATTTTGACACGCTTCCCGTGGGCAACAGGAAGTAAATTGCAGTACATACAGGCCGGCCCACCTTAAACCTCGACGGAAGGGTTTCTTTCCGGAGCACGATCGCATCATCTCGAAACGATTCTGCATACTCTCCTCCTTCGGGATTGGGTTTCAAATTGAAGGAATCCCGCAGCTCCTGAATCCCCATACCGCCCTGTCAATTGATCGTCCAATCGATCTACCCACGTCTCGGAATACCACCCACTGACTGATAGATTGAATGATTGACTGATTGTGTTCCTCACCAAGAATGCGATCAAATTAAGTGACGAGAAAATGTACCTTGACAAAAATACGAAAGAATCCATTGAGACTTCATACGTTCGCAGGCGAGGTCCGATTCCTTCCATTCCTTCCATTCCCTCCATTCAAGAGTCAAATTCCAACTCGAGCGGATGTTGACCCAGTCTTCGACGGCCGATCATGTCTCGACGACGAACATGTCAAATGCAGCCCTATGATCACGTCACTGCACCTCACTGCGAGCGAAGACATGGGAATTTGAGCCCCCCCGCCGCCCCCGACGACGCATCACGTCGGGTTCTTTCTGTCCAGGCACCTCGTGCGCGGAGCAATGCGTCAGCGGGCGACTCTCTCGTCCTCTCGTTGCTTCTCTCGATTCCTCCTGCCCATCGAAAAATCGCTTGTTTCAAACTGTATTCTTGCAAGGCGCCTAGGCGCCTCGGCGCCAAAGCCACGCCCCGTTCCGTCCGGCCGTCTGTCCTTTCCGTCTGTCCGTCCGGCCTTCGTGCTTTCCTCAGGGAGGGCTTCCCTGACAGATTCTGTCCTTTCTTGTGCGGGAAGGGATCTTGAACCGCCGGACAAACAGACTGACCGGTTCGGGTCGCCTTGCACGAACTGCGACTCCACCGGTCTTCGGGCAGAGGTTTTTACTGTGATTATTGTTTGTTGTTGTTATTGGTATTGGCAACAACCCCGCGACGTTATTTAAATTCCGCGACGAGCGTTACATGACGGTGTGGGTGGACAGAGATCAGACCAAGGCACAAGTCAAGTGCAACAATTTTGACGATGGACTTGACAGACCCCAGGAAAGGGAATCAGCCGTGCTTCAGGTCAGACTGCATGTCTCGTCGTGGACTTTGCACACACGATATATGCAACTAGGGTTGATGGAATCGTGTTATCATGTCCACATTTTTTCGTAAGTTTCTTTTTGAGTTTAATGAAGAAGCTAAACTTGCTTTTAAGTTGATTCTTGTTAGGTTCGCGAGTGAACCCATGGAGAAACTTGGATGAGTTTGGGTTCTCTTATTTTGACCACGGCACTTTGCGTTAGAGTAAGCAAGGTATTTATGACATAAGAAGTTCTCAGCTTGACTTTAAAGATTCTACGAAGTGGATTCGACTAAGTTGCTGGAGTAGTACAAGTTTGGACTATAGAAGTTGGATGTCAAGTTGAGACACGTGATACTTCTTATATGGCTCGATTATAACGATCTGATATCATGGAATAGGTTGAGGAGCATAGAATACCGGAATACATCCTTCAACCTACAGCCACCACTTTTTTTTTGACGTATTTTACACACATATACGGAATAGATGATGTACTTAAAGGTGTTGAAATATCAACTTGAAAAGCCGTTGTATGTTGATAGATCTCTTCTTGTCTCATCTCTATACACATTGGTATAGCTATCTTCGAGATATAATTGAGTATTTAATTCAGTAAAACTAATCTTTTAGTAGTTTATAAAAATTGTTTGAGTCTGTTATATGAATATCAGGATACCTGTTATGGATTGATTGTGTGCTATATGATAGTCAACTTTTCAGGTTTTAGTTGAAGTTTTTTTAATCATCAGATAATATATATCAGATAAATTTTTTTGCAAATGTTACTTGTATTGCTTTCATTTTACACTTCTTATTCTTTCAGCATCACCTTTTCCGACATAAGGTTGAAGATGAAAAATACCATGAGGCGTAACCATTTGCTCTTAGAGGTTAGTTAAATTTTCATTTAGATTGTATTATCTTGAATCTGTGCGTTTTTTAATTTTTTTTCACATACGTACATCTTTAAAGATCTTTGAGATTATAACAATTTAGTATGAAAGTTATGTAATTTTTTACTAGATAATGCTTTTTTCTAATTGATTTGTATATGAGTAATCACTTCCTTATCTAAATCACAATACATCATTTTTTGCTAATGTACAAATACAATACTGTATTGTTCCCAAATAAAAGACCCGTCTAGTAATCTTGTATGAAAGTATGGAAGTTTGATGATTAGCAATGAGACTAGATTATTCAAAAAATTAACATGTGAAGTCTACTATTCTATGAGCTAATATTTATCAAACATTCTCACTCATAATAATCATACTTCTAGTATGTTTCATTCTTAGTTATACTTGCATAAGTTACCATACACCCCTCTTATCATCACGGCAGATTTTCATTCCTCTAATCCTCAACATACTTCAACCAATTTGTTGAAAGGATAACTTCTCAACTATCTCCACGTGTCAACAATACTTTTGGCTCAACAAAAATTATCTCGTCACCTCGTCAAAACCACTCTTGATCTAGTCTTCTATATTTTATGGACTAATTATTTTTTTCAAAGCTTTGACTATAGTGTTAAATCCTATAAATATTGAGGATGAAATATTGCATGAAAGAAGCATGAAGAATTTTTTAATACTAGTCCAAACGATCACTGCAACCTACCACTAAAAACGTAGTGACAAAGAAATGCTAAAAAGTTCTTAACTTTTTGACTTTTCGACATCGTGAACTCTTACATGTACATATACTAAAATACGAGTCTTAAGATTGAGCTGGTGGGGTGCATAACAAGGATCATATATCCGAAATATCACACGGCATGAAGATAAGTCAACATATAGGAACCAGTTAAGAACCGACTAGTTATCATGTAACCCATACACCCCTCGGGGTATACAGGTTCCATGATGACTAATTTAACAATACTAATGGGTGTCAATCTCAACATTTAATGAGTTTATATATATGAAACCTTGGAGCCTTCTACAATTTGTTGTTTGTTGTCAAGTATATCTACAGTTGGTGAGTCTCAAGCAATTTGAAGAAATGTAGAAAGTATAGAATGACATATATAAATATAAAAAGATATAATTATATACATGTCATTCTATGCTTTACAATTCACGCTCATCTGGGTACTTAACATATGATCATACTGCTCTTCTCCCCTTAGCTTGGAGGAAGATAGAGCTGTTGTCGACCCTGCCTTTGCAAAATTAAGAGCATGTCTTGATGCTGCTTCTCCGGAGTGGATGCGATTGTGCCCGTACCAACTGTGTCATGATGGCCTCCGTATTGTGGTTCTCGTGGAGACGTCCAGAGCCTTCAGACTGCGTTGGTTATCGAATGGGAAAACCCGAATCAATACCCCTCTTCGTATCCGACTACGAGGGCGGAGAGTGAAATAGAGAGCAAAAGAGTGAGAGAGAGAGAGAGAGGGAGAGTATCCATCGATTGTAATCCAAACGTGCCGTGTCGAAGTTAGATCAGCCCACACGATGCCGAGTCGAGGAAGATAATGATCCAGATCTAGAGAAGCACCGGGTACGAGGACAGTGAATGGAACGCTGATCCGGAAGCCCGATGATCCGTCCTCATCGAGCAAGAGTAGCTGAGTCCCTTTGTAATCAGCTCCATGGATGCGTTTGATCGTTCAAAGTGGACTGTAACGTCATGTGAAGGTACGTTGGCTGGCCAGTACACTGCCAGGAGCAAGACAAGACGAGACGACAACACAACGAGACGACAACAGCCACCACTCTACTAGCCAAAATCTTTATTTCTTACACTCGTATTCTAATCATATGATCTAGCAAAAGGGGAAGTACAACGCTAGGGTAGTACTGTTTCTAACTATGTATGTCCTCCAATGAGTGGAGGAGCCCATCGGAATGCCATTGATTTCTCTTAACGATACGACAACTTTATGATTAGAACGCCAGTGTAGAAATCGAGTTTCACTACCGACCAACTTTCAACACAGGAACGATATCCCATCACTTCTCATTAGGCGTCTATGTGGTGATCTAGATGCCCCTCACTGCTGTGCATTTGCTTTTCCTGTTGCTGCTTTGATCAGCCTCCGAGCTCAAGCACAAGCAGAAGAAGAAGCAGGAGCAGGTGAGCACGAGAATGAGAAGTGATGAACTAAGCCCCCAAATAAAAGCTGAAAAGGGACAAGGGAGCATGACAAAAGGGATACACGCCTTTCATTCTTTCTACTAGTACAGATCGAATTACTAAGATACAGCTCTACAGCTCTAGACCTACATCTAGAGACAGACACACACACACTGCAAACGCTAACCAAAAAATAAATGATCAGGTACATACTTTACACAGAAGCAGCATTTGCAACGGCGAGGAGAAGATCAAGTGTCTGAAGACCTATAATACAGTAGTGTACGTACTACGACAGACTTCTTCTAGTAATTCTAATGATAGCGATGGGAGTTCCAGTACAGTACTGTCTGTCAAAATGAACCTCGTCTTTGGAGGCCATGCTTTCTCAACGACAATCTTGCTGCTTCTACTCCAAACCTGGTTTGGGTCCGCGTCCCCACGGGGCCGAAGGATAAGTTTCGTTTCAAGTGGTTTGTTCCACTGCTCATGCTGCTGGTGCTGCCTTGACTTTCTCTGTACAAAGTGCTATCGGCTATGGATAGCAGTGCTTCTGAGTCTCGCTCAGGTCGATGGTTTCTGGTGCGGTTGTCGTGTCTGTATATGTCGCCTGATTTGTAGACCTTGTAAGTCTCCAGGGCGACTTCCTCTAAATCTGAATCACAATCATTTTCCTCCTCCCACAAGTGATCTGCAGACCGAATCGATGATCCTTCTGGCTCTCGTGTGGACTCTCCTTCAGTTGCCTTGGCATCTGCATATACATTCCTGTTGACATATGTCGTCAGCTGTAACTGCCCATCAGACTCCGCTGCCATCTCTGATGAAGATTCTGCGAGTCGGCTTAGATCTGGACTGGCAAGGGCAGCCACGTTCACTTTTTCCCCTTGACGAGTGCCACGACGATGCAGTGGAACCTTGGGATCGTACTTGCCTACACAGAACTCTGATACAGTATTAGTCGCCGAAGGAAGAGTCTGGACCTTTGCAGGAGGTGGGGGAGGAGGAGGAGGGAGGGGAGCCATCACCACAGGCACAGGCACATTGAGAGTCGGTGCTTCGCTACTGGCTGGGCTGGTTTGATTGGCAAAATCGACGACCTCGGTATCAAATTTCGTATCAATGGTCAGATCTGGACGCGTTCTAGTGGAGTCTAGCTTTCGAGCGCTGTACCAAAACAAACCACCACCATTACCCGCAGCAGCATTGGCCTGATGGCCAGATACTGAACCTGTTGTGCTCCGAGGAGTTGAGCTTCCTGAGCTCGAGCACGAGCTCGAGTTGGAGCTCCAAAGCTGAGGCAGAATTTCTCGTCTGGGGCTCTGAAGAATCTTCAAAAGCTTCTCCTCCAGCTCTTGATACCGCTGTTGCACTTGGCGGCGGCTTGCCACGATTTCTGGATCGGTGGGCGTCCAATGCAAGCTCTTTTCTCTGTGCATGTGCATGGAATGGTGGTCCATTGCGGAGTCTTCTGACGACCAGTCCATTTGGTCTGGGAAATCCTCCGGGGCGGGCCTCTTGAGGCATTTGGCAGTGGCCACCACACCCTCGAAGTCCCTCGTATCGGCAGATTCGAACGAACAATTGGACAAGTTATCTAGCTCGTCCATCTCAATCTCTGTGCGAGTGGGAGAGTTGAGGTCCATTCCGCACGGAGTCTGATTCTCGCGCTCCAGCTGCTGCAGCTGCTGGAAATGCAACGGAGAGCATTTGCAGTCTACGCTTCGACGAGCATTGGACTGCACCTTCAATGGCCGAAGCCCTTCTCCCAGAGAGTGTTCCCGCACAAACTTCGCCCCAACTTTCCGAGCCGATTGTTGTTGCTGCTGTTGATGTTGCTGGTGCAGTAGATCTGCACTGTGATGCAGCAGATGCTGCTGCTGATCCTCTACCTTCGAGTTACAATTTCCAGATACGGCATTGTCGTGCATCCTACCAGTAGTGGTGGTAGTGGTGGTCAAACCTCCCAGCATTGCCTCATCACAAGGCTTCTGAGACTTGTACACAACTGGTTGGAACATGTAGACGTTTTCCAGCTTGACCAATTGGCCGCCATTCGAGAGGCAGAACTCGTGGAACGGGTTGGAATCCTCGCGCGCGGATCTTCCATCCGACAGCAAGTTTCCAGTTGCCGCCTGTGCCTGAATCTGATTAGACTTTGGAGACTGCACCGCATTGCTAGTGCCGAAGGCAGCAGTGGCCCTCAGAGACGATATCTCGTCCTTCAACTTCTTCACTTCCTCCTCTTCCTTCTCCAACTTGGTCGTCAGCTTTTGGACCTCGGAGTTAAGCCGATACAGAATCTCTAGAGCTCTAGATTGTGAGAGATCGCCCATCTCTTTCTCGTGCAAGATACTGGATCCATGATCTGCCTCTCGCTTGGAGGAAGCCGGAGAAGCAGAGGAGGAGTTGGTTTTGGAGGTGGAGGAGCAAAACTTACACTCTGTGTCCTTGGAACAATTGTGGCACCTGCTCAAGGCTTGCGCGTCCATTTGAGACTTTAAGACGTGCCGCTTGTATAGCAGCTTGAGTAGAGTGGATGGAGACATTGCAGCAGCAGAACGCTGGTTCAGAGCTGCATTGTCGTCGGCCTGAGCAGATCTGGGCGTATTATCGAACACAGCAGAGCATATGACCTTACACATGATCCAGAGATTCCAGGCGAGCTTTCGCCTCCTCTGGAAGTGAAGCGCGCTGTAGTCCCTGCCCAAACAAGCGCGCACCAAATTCCCCATGATGATGCACTCGCTGCTGTCATGCAACGAGTCCTGAGCTGCTGCAGCTGCTGCTTTTACTTACTTCTTCTTCTTCTATTGCTCATTCGATCGACCGAATGTGCACGGGGTCAATGTCCAGGCATGAAGACCTCAAGGATGCAAAAGTTGATCGTTTCGATGGTTCTCTCTGCCACAGCTCTGAACATTAGACTCAGAGATGCAGACGATGTGAGAGATTAAGAAGTGCTACTACCTGCATTTAACCCACACGACGACGACCTGTAAACTGCTGTAAACTGCTGCGTGTGCGACACTGACGTCAACCACAGGACAAATCTGTACATAAAGAACTGGAATGTTGCCTCCTGATTTCCGAGTATCCCCTGTGACGAATATTCACTGGACAGTGAAGAACCCCCAGCTCAGAGCTTGGCCACGAACGCTGCTCCACTTCCACGAGCGCCCCTGTGTGCTGATCACGGTACTTGCTCCCCGGCGCCATCTGCTCCCGTGCTGGAAGAGTCAAACTCCTACAGTGCTGGATTCGGTTAACAGGCCACTGGTTCCAGGGTAAGGTTTCTTCAGATGTCTCGAGCAGCAGAAGCAGCACCATTTTAGTATTTTACCTTTTCCCCCTCGATTGCCCTGCAACAGTTGCGTCCCGGTTCTTGTGCTCGAGTGAAGAGTGAAGAGGGGGGGACGGGGCCGAGGGCTGTCGTCCCCATGCTCTTGGACGTGCTTGGAAAATGTGAACGGACAGCCGATTTCCGTGTGCCACACTCGACAGCTGGACTATGTCCCTTTGTCTTGTGCTTCCAGGCAGACGACTGTTCCACATCAAGGTTTGCTGAGATGTCAGTCCGGGATACAGGGATCCAATGGCACGACTTCTCCCCAGCGAGAATGTCCGAGCACTAGCGTGCACGTTGGGCATGGAATGCGGAACCTCTTAGATTTGACTTCATCTCTCGAGCTACAGCTACCGGTGGAGGAACAGATTTTGATCGTCGCCGAGCTCACGCGGTCTTCATGCAATCAACACACTCGTACAGATCATCAAACGGTTTCAGACGTTTCCAGCCTTCATCAGTCTCGGCTCCCTGTCTGGGAGCAACACTAATCTTAACGACGTAAAGGGACTTTCACTGCAGTCCGTCGTTCCTTCCGTGCATGCAGCCGACATTGAGCTGGTTGGGGCCACAAGTGCTCTTAAACATCGCTGTCCTTCTTCACTATTGAGTCATCACCGACTCTATCGGTCCGCAATTGTGCCTTAGACTGCTCTCTGCGCAACACTCGCACTCACAGAAACTTCCCAACGCCTCTTCTGCGCTTGCACTGCGTGTAATGTCTTGTAAGTGGCGAGTCTAGTGGTTTCAATAGCGACCTCGTCGAATCATATATACAGAGAACAATCGACAATTACAATTTGGTACGAGAAGTAGAGTGCAGCATTGGACTCATTAACGGCAGTTCTTCCGAAGTTAGATCAAATGAACCGTGCTTCGTTCGAACAGGTGATTCAAACTCCCAGGAACATTAGTGGTATAAAACTGTGGACGTGTGCACTAAAATGTAAAAAAGAATTCTCGCCTGCGAGCGGATACTCTATTTTAAGTGGACTGTACGTGGGCACCGAATTGTACATACTACTGTACTCTAGTTCTAGTGTTCACACTTTGTGACTGCTGTTAGCCCTCTGATTGTAACTACCTACCCTCTACACGGTGTGATGTCCGATACAACGCCGCCAGGGTCGGGAGTAGAGAGCCTGGTTTTGACGCAAGTAGGTAAAATTGTAAAAAGGTAAAAAGTCTTGTAAAGGTGAAATCGGCTGATCTGAACGTGGGTAAAGCGAGCAGCTTTCACATAGTTCAGTAAAAAGATGAGCAAAATCTTACAAAATTGTACGCTGCAAAGAACTAGCTAAGCCTCTTGAATTTCCCGATCATGAACACGTAGTACTGCGCAAATGGTACCAAAGTAACCTGGCTATGCCTACCTCCAGTGATATCCCTGTGTCAAGTTAAAGATAACGTAATTTTGTTAAAATGAACGAAACGATACTACGAAGCTTGAAAGCGGGAGAGTTCATTTGTCGGGGAGTCTAGAAGCGTCTTTTTTAGTTTATCTGCATGTCATCACTGGTGCTAATTTACGAAGAACTAGGTCTTGCTGCAGGATTTCCTTCCCAGCGTTGCTGCAAAAGACTACAACCATGTACAAAGTCACACTCTCAAAACGCAAGCCGGAAGAAGAGAAAGCAGTGGTGCATGAGGTGGACAATTCAAGATGACTGTGTGAGGAAGCACACGCTGGTAAGAGCGGCAATATTATGATGCATTGGGGATCCATCTCGTTATTCTTCTTCAGACCTCTTAGACGATGAGCGCATGTGAGGAGATGTCCACGCTTTTATGATGAGGCCCATGACCAAGGGCCTCCGGAGCAACGTACCGATCTACTCCTTCATATTGGCAAAAGCTTATCCCTGTCAAAAATAACTGGTATTCTGTATCCTATCTATAGAATGTGTAGATAGGATACAAGGGCCGCCAAGTTAAGTATCTAAGAAAACAATACAGCTTTCGAAGTGACAGGTCATCCACCATTCACATTTTTGCCCGTGGAGTTAAGTACTTGTCTCGGCAAGGAGGTTTTGTATCTTTACTTACAAAACAAAAGAGACTGCCTTTCGCGTTCCCTAAGAAAAAATTTCTGGATTTGTACGACCGTCTGACTTCAAGGAATTTAGACCGTTATATCCTTGTGTCTGTATGTCAGACAAGGACAGAGATAGGCAAAAGCAAATGAAGACGGAAAACCACGATCTTGTGGTGGTAAATGGTAAATGGTAAATAGATCAAGCCCGTGGGACCCAAAGGGTCAAAAGGCTAAAAAACACAAACGTGAAACGCTAGATTCAAACTGTGATCTGTGAAACCATTGCTAGACGCCATTAGCGGAATTACTACAAAAAGACACCTTACAAATCCTTGATAGGCAGACTGATTACCCCGAGATATTTAATGCAGGATTTCGTCCAGCAAGTAGTGTAGGTAATAATGTATCAAGAGTTGGTTGTGCTGCACAGATTAAAGCTATGAAACAAGTAGCAAGACGGAAGTTGCGGGTTCAAGCCCCTTCAATCCCAACTCTAATGATAAAAGACAAAACTAATTAATCAATATAGGTATTTTTATTTGAAAATATTTTTGGGAAACTTTCTTGACCAATAGGGTAGATCAAGAAAACAGCAGTGCAGCAGCAACTGGAGCTGAATATGCAACGACGAGGTGCACTAGACGTACAAGAGCCCGTCTCTCCCGTTATATTGAGTATATACCTCCGAAACGACCAGTAGTTGCTTCCTCTGACAATAGTCCGAAGTCTGCCACCTTCAGATGTCCAGGTTCATCCTGTAGCAAGTTTCTGTGCACACATGAGGATGATAACTCAAAAGAGATACTAAATCTGGTGAGAGATTTAAAAACCTCAACAATAAAGATGCTAGCCAACAGGATTTAACTGCATCGCGTGTCCTGCTTGCGAACATGCTAAAGATTGCACTCCAAAGTAACTAAGCTACTCAAAGCTATATCATTCTAGGTATCGTGAAGGAAAGGCGTCCTGCATCATAGAAACTGTCTACATGACCATCCAGACAAGAAGACAATCACCCTCGCTCAAATAGTTCTTTCTCACCATGGCTTCAGGTTGCGAAGGACGAATCGATCTGGCTTATGTTGGTGAAGATAATTCATACCCCTATATTTGGGTATAACTTGGCAAAAACATTGCTGGCTTTCATGCCAAAGATTTGCCGGCTATGTTTGCTGGGTGATCTGAGTCTAGGAAAATAACTTCTCAAGTGCAGCAGGCTTGCAACCTGTCTCTGTAATCATCAACCTATGGTTACATAATACATGGTTGATTTATTGACTATCATATCTACTGAAGGAATAAACATTAATTCCGAGCAATATCCAAAGCGAACTGCAATGATTCTCTTGCTGATATGCGTCCTTTCATCCGATTATGTCTTCAAAATCCCCCTGTCAAGCTGGAAGACAGGTAATCTTAATATATCTTCTATGCATAGGAGGATGAATTCAAAAGGCAACATACCTACTGAACCTAATGCTCGAGTTAAATTAGAGACTATGATAAAGTTAAGGTTTACCCTCGGAAGATACTCCGTCGCAATAACGAGGTGAGTGAATTTAGTAATGGCACCAAGAAACTAAACAATATAGTGAAACCTCAACTTTTGTAGTTAGGCCAGTTCCTTGATAAACTCCTTCCTGTACACACAAAAGCACGTACAGAGTTTAGTCCCTTCACCCGACAAAGGCTGTGAGCCAGAATGATCGGTTCTATTCGTATATATACAGTGACAATCTGGATCGTTATGCTTCCGTAACCTATACAACCTGTTGATTGGCTGCGAGACCTTGAAGAGTTGTCTTGGGCATGACCCAAGTTCCCCTCCAGTTGACCTAACGCACTTCTCCATACGATCCCTTCTTATTCTTAACACTTTCATCTCTATATCAACAAATGAAAAACTTGAAGCCTACGCGTAAAATCCCCATTATTTAGGTACCCATGTCAAGTGAAATTTATATCTTAATCCATGTCCAAACATAACACAGAAAGACTCCTATCACCGAACTGATTCGAACTTCAGGAATTTTCAAGAGATGAAACAACGAGCAATCAGCATAAGGGAGCCCACACGCAGCTCATCCTTGGACGAAATCATGAAAAGTTGTACATAACTAGTCTACAGTTGTTCAAGAAAGTACTCTCAAGATAATCGAGATTTCATACCGAAGCGGTGCCTCCATTCTGTACAAGGATCTCATAAACCTTGGTATAGTCAAATCGCCTCGCATTTGGAAGACTCTGGACATAAAGCAAACCGGTATGTTGGTCTGAATGCAACTGGCGTAGGGAAATCACTTGTTTCGAATCAAAACTGAGCCTATAAACTGATTACAAACAAGCTCCTCGTGTCTGGATGTGAGTGATTGCATGTAATAATCTAATGCTCCAAACCCACCATTTCTTGTCAGCCAACTGTACCACGAAAAAATTTTTTCTAAACATATATATACGCCATTTCAAATTGGTTCATGATCAACGTAGGGAACTAAAAGATTCCCCACGCTGGACACTGAGGGTAAGCTGGAGTTATTATAGAACATCTCTACGAAGGACCCTAATGTACAACTGTTTTGGGACGTAAACACAACATCACTGTCCAAAATCCAATTAACGGTCCTCGAAGTACTGCGCGACATTGAGATATAAACTCACCGATTCTCCCGAGCGGTCGATGGTATTGATATGCGCATTACACTTCAGCAGTAATCCAATGACACCAACGTGACCCTCGCCAAGAGCAAGATGCATTGCAGTTAATCCGTCGTAGTCTGCGGATAAACCGTAGTCCACCATTCTGGCCACAGCCTCTCCGACACCCTGGCTCGCGGAACGAAGTAGACTTCCAATATTGTCCGGGATCACAGGTTGCTCGATGTCCTCTTTCATGCTCCTCGAGTTCGATATAAACGCAGCTCCCCTCCGTCGACGATCACTCCATCAATTACTGTTTGACATGAACAATTTGAAACCAGTGACAACTAAGAATAATATGCACGAGGAACTAAGGGTACCATGCATCCATGTAAGTTATGAAGGACTTCAACCCGCCCACACGAACGAACATCCGTTAAGTTCAATACACTACCCTTGACTTGGCAAGTGTGATGGTGTGAGCACTTACGGGGCTACTAATAAATGAGTCACTTCATAGATAGAGAACATCCCTAAGAAGAGTAGTAGAGAGGTATCTCACCGGCTAGTAGTAGAATCCGCTCGAGGGTTCATACTGGGGTTCAGGGGGGCTGATGCTACGTGTGTTATAAATGAAGATTCCAGATAAATCAAGGTTTGCGAAACAGCGACAGTGACAGAAAAAACCTACAATATATTTATACTCCAACTCTTCAGACTTTTCCCTTGGCGATCAACAAACCAGTGCCAGATGTCATATTTCCTTCGTGCTCTAGTCGTCTCCACCATTTGCATCGGCGTCAGATCATCCCTGTAATCATATCATCAAAGGGCAATACTGGAGAACTGAGAGCAAACCTTCCATCTATCTCTCTATGTTTGTCATGCAGACCCATCGTGAGAAGAATTTCCTCCATTTTCAGCGAGTAAAAGAAAGCTTATTGTTGGTGAAAAGTCGGGTCATGCAGATTTCAGCCAAAGATTAGCTTCAGCTAAGAGTACAAACCACTTGAAACTACTGCAAGAGACAAGCCACAAAGAAAACTTCATTACAATTCGCAGGAAATCATGCGACTCCACGGCCAAGAGAAACGTAAGCTGCGGGATACACCCCACTTGACAACGAAATCCTCTTCTATTAAAGAACAAGCAATATATCGGCAACATCAAGCTACCTGGAAACAGTAGCATCGCAAGGCCTCCAAGATCGATCCAAAAGCCTGATATACTACCAGAACTTGCTTCTTGCTATGATATATGCACATTTGATCACTGCACAGGCGTATGATGCGCGTGTACTATCTGCTGCAGTACGGAAAACTTGCAGGGCCGATTGTTCGCTCGTCCAAACAAGAGAGTTCATCACCCCCATATACATTTTCGACGATCCGATTAAATAGTTGATGGAACGAAGCAATCTGTCCCACAAGAATACGGAGACCGGCGGCGGTGTTGATCGGTTGACCTGCTGCCGCCCTTCTCTAGTCACCATGACTTTGAGAAGAGCACCTGCTACCGTGTTTTTTGCATAAGCAATCGCCAGGAATTGTTGTCTGCTTCCGATGAGACAGGTAACGGCGAGACTTGGTGCCTACAGCCGGCCAGGCACAAAAGAACCCGGGTTCCTTCCTCGGTGCTGGCTGCATTGAAATTGTCCAGAAAAATTTGAAACCCAGCTTGACGGACGGAGGGTTCAATTCCATACAGCGTATCACCCTTCATTCTCGAGTGCCTCTTTGATTGTTTGACGAGGTTGGCGAGGCGTAATGCGAAGCATTTGTTTCAAATGATTATCACAGAAAGCCTCATCTGACTCTTTGTGTCAACTTCCCTCGCACGATCACGACCGGGTGGGGGTCATCACAAACCTAATTACATACTTGCGTGTGGTGATATATAGCCTAAGAATTCCTAGCCACGCAATACCAGCAATTCTTTATCCTCATGGCTCCGAACTTTGTCGTTTGGTCCTGATAAAATTCCGTTTTCGAAAGCGAGGATACGGATTCACGGCGAGACCCTCACATACCAGCAACTCGTCCAACAACGCTACTTTTTCATCCTCCAATGCCTCGATATCATCCTCCAACTTTTCCAACTGATCTACAAGAGAGTCGGCTTTTTCCAGCGCCTGCTCTAGACTCCTCCTCGCATATAGTACGGCCTCACGCTCCTCGTCCGAACCCGAAGACCTCTGCCTGCCATCTGAGTCTCCACTGGCGGCATTACGTGACGATGGCTTGGGCTGCTTCTTGCGAACCAATCTCGAGGACTTATCTTCTTCTTGAAAATACCTCTCTTCGCTCAGCATCTGTGGTTTCCGAGGCTGGACATTCGGTGGCGCACTACGGCGCTTCGTAATCGACGGCCCCTTCATTGCCATGGGAGCCAAGTGCAATTCCTTATGAACCTTCGGTTTCACCGGAGCTGGCGCAGGCACGAAAGGCCTACTTCCTGAGCTCCGACTCGCGAAAGAATTATCATGCGACAGATCCTTCGACCTCACTTCCGCCGATGCTGCTGCAGGTCTACCGCTCAAATTCCAACTCGGATAAGACAACTCGTTCTGGTAATCCTTAGGGACCTTCGAGGACTTCATTTGCGCTGGAACGGGCGGCCTCTTGTAGGCTTTCCGCCCGGAAAAAGAACTGTCGTTCGACATGTCCATCGCACCGGCTGCAACTTCACACCGATCGTCGACCCGAATGTCAAAGATGGGCAGGCAGACGGGCAGGAAAGAATGCGGTTCTGATCCCAAAACCAAAAACCACCACCACCTCGTCCGTCTGCCGACCCCAATACAGCTGCACCTGCGACTCCGCGCTCGACTAGGTCAAGCTCTAGCTGGCTCGCCCCATCGTCCTCGCTTCCTTAAACGATCCCCCGAGCGATCACTAATTGCGCATCCCAATTTCGGCCCCGACGACCGCCTTCCCCAGCAGCACGCCGACAAAGCCATTGCTGGCACTGTATCTAATGCCGATCGACGACCACCACATCAGTCGATGTCGAAGTTCATTGCCATCCTCCAATGGCGTGATCTGTAATGCGGTACGGGGCCGACGAGCCTCGAGCACTGATTACGAGCGTCGGGGTTATTTCAAATCAAATTCAAATGGGCCCTCGGAACCACCCCTCGTCCGCTTTCGTTGTTTTACCACCCCCCGCTGCGCCGCGATTTACCTCCCCGCTACCGCCTGGGCCTGTCACCATCTTCGCTCCTCGCTCGACCTTCGATCCCGACGCCCGAGTGCGCTCTTTCGCACTGTGGCAACCCCGCTTCCAACTGTGGCAACCTCTCGCCGTCGCCGGCGTCCTACGCCGTGCCGCCAAGGTAAGCTGGGCGGGGAGAGTAGGTTGGGCCCTTGATTTAGAGGGAGAGCTGTCGGCAATTGTGAGCCGCTAACTTTGGCCGCGGTGGAGTGGCCGTCGGTGCTCGCCTGGTCCTCCGTTCCCATACTGCACGGACTGGGCTGCTCTAAACAATTGCAGGTTTGTTCTGCCGCGTATATTTCGAGTAAGTGGTGATTGACATTATATTTGCTTTTAATACCTACACCTTTCACTTTAATGCATCCGCAACATTATCTCTTGTTGAGGGTGGCTAAGAGCAAATCCTTCGAACTTTCTTGGCCAGCCTAGAACCTTGATAAATCATATTTTTTAATTTCTTGTTTAGGGCCCTCACCTACTGCATCTCTACTTGGGGGCGGGGGTGAGCCGGAGATGAATATACTTAAATTCTTTTTGATCAGTCAAACAGAAGATGGAAAGTTTGCGAGATTATACAAAGACCCGACAATTCTAACTATATGCCCGTTATAGTTTCGAAGAATCTTGATGTTTTATACAATTTCCATTTATGGTTTGTTGGGATATATTTTATGTTTTGGAACATGAGTGCAAGTAAGGTGTAGTTGAACTGCTTAGAGACCTATGAATGCGTCAGCTCACTTTACTGTATTAATATCCATTTCTCAACAGTAGATAAGCACCAGAGTCTTACCTTTTAATACTCCTTACAACGTTCTGCATAGTATAACGTGGAAATGACGATGGCTGGTGATAACAATATGTGAGTGGAAAAGCAGCATGTTTTACGATTACAACTTGAAGTGAGACGTATCAAAATATTCAATGATTATGAAGAAAATAATTAACGCACTAATTCTTATATTAACAGAATTTCATGGAATTCAGAACTTGCAAACTAGAACACATACATATTAATTCAGTATATGTAGCGTTGCGCGGATTTCATAATTGTCGTTGATTCGTTATAATCTGCACAAATTTTTGATATTGATGTAGATATCATTGTATCCTGAATGGAAGAATTAGATTACACGGATTTTATTATTTAAATAGTAATATTCTTAGAAGCGAGGATTGTCATAAAATATTGTATTTTGAAAAGACATTTCACATGTTTGGAATGATAAGTATCTAGACTGTGAAATAATTCACTTCTAGTCAAAATATATAATAAAACATTTCATAGAAATGTTTGCAAACTTTTTTCAGCTCTAACAGAAATCATATATTGGAAGTTAATGTAAACAAATTGGCTTTTAGATTCATTGACAGAGTACCGTATAGAGAGTTGATAAATAAGAACTGAATTGAACATATCTTTAAAGCAATTGCAAATCAATTAAGTAGATAAGGAACTGACGGAATATTTCATAATGAAATATGGATTATTGTATTGTATTTGTGATAAATACATTTACTATAGTAGAATAATCATACTCTAAAAAATAAAAATAAAAATTTCTTACACGGAGATATGTTTTTGTTGTGTATGTAAGCATGATGTACTCTAAATTATTTCTTAAGTTGTCAATATATTTTGGGAATACTACAAAATGATTTAATGTTAAGAAAATTACTTCTTAAAATCTGGAGATATCATTAGGCTTAAAAATTCTGTGGTAGGTTTTCATAAACAAATTCTTTGAGAAGTACAAAGGAAATAATTACAGTACTTGATACTGTGCGTTTCTGCTTTTATGTATTATAGTATAAAACATGTTTTATCTAGCCTACGAAATCAAACTGTTAACATCGAATGATCTAGAAACAAAATCAGTATTTACTAACAAAAAGTGTCACCACTAGTAATATAATATTCATTATTATTTTCGCACAAATCAGGTGTATGTATTTTATTCAATGTACTGTTGTATTCTGTTATTAGTTTGTGATAGATATAGTATGGAAATAAAAAGATACGAAGAGAACAAAAATCATAACCCAAGATTGTGATCTGTACAGTTAAAATTTACAGTTAAAAATGAAAATACCGATATTTAAAAGTAAAACTCATGATTGAATCATGTTTTAGTGCTATCATAATATATTTTTAACTTCATTCACATTATTATCAAATTAAACGTTGTATGCATCAGAGTAATCTTGATACGCGCAATGTGTGATACAGACTATTGCAGGCAACTGCTTATCTCGCTACAGTAAAATGACTATATGTTAGACCGTGTGAGAAAGCTCAGGGAGTGCATGGTAAAAATATTCACTGCCAGTTACTAAATGCTTTACATTTAAATGATGTGAGTTGCTGAGAAGAGTAATTAAGTGTGTGATATTACTTACCATGATATTACTTACAAAATTTCTTCCCTTCCGCTTGACAATGAAGTGACAACTCTTTGAACCAATATAGTAAAAACATGACATGATATGATTTGGGACTTGTCTCCTTCGCTTTCCATATGACGAACGTAGGGGGGAAACCACAAATCATTTATGGTCATCATTACTTTTGATTTCTAGAGAGTAAAACCCAACCGCCTGTTGCAGAGCTCATAAGTTCAGTCGGAGAGTTCCAACTGTACTGACCATACTAATGGCACCCACACTCTACATAGGGTCTGGAAAACTAAAACACAAGGGTCAGGTATACGTATTATACGTTCGGCGATCTTGATAACTTCCGTTGTTTGGTAAAAGTGGAACACAAGAAATGCGTGAAAGGTACTTCGTATTGAGTCAATTGGCGTGGAAAACCAACAAAAAATTAGAAACCTAACTCAATAAATGCAGGACATTCCATCCGACATCGAGTTCAAGATCGGGATGATATGTACCCATGGGCGGTTTCATGCACTCATGTTCTGATTGCTTACAGTGGATCAGCAAATATAAAACTTCATAAAGACACCATACACTTCTAACCATTGCTTCTGCAGTTTTCTTTTCCATTATCAACCAGAATCAAAGCCGTTGGGATCAAATTCTGTTTTGTACCATATCCTGCTTGGCTAACTTGGCTAACTTGGCTACTACATTTGATTCCTCGAATCAACTGTGTGACACGTCCATAGAACATTCAACACACGAGTATATTCTTCCCTGCAACATTCAACAAATTTCAAGCATCGAGTTGAGCAAAACCGAGTTCAATTTCCGCACATCACCGGAAACTAACAAGATTCAGAACGAACTGTCTGTCTACCTCGACTCAAAACTTCCCTCTCCACATTTAGACATCAGTGTGAGAACATAACATCTCTTCGGGACAACAGACTCGAGGAAGCGCCAAACGACCATTATTCAAAAGCAGGATGAACTAGTCTATCCCCACGTTTCCCAAGGTTGAAGTACTATGGACTAAACAAGTATTTCCCCATAGAAGAAACAGGCAAAATTACCAAAATATGTCCAATAAAGCTAAGTTCAGTATTAAAATATCATACAAGGAAAACCCGATTGCCCCTCTAACCAAATCCTCGAAACAAAGTACGCACATTTGGTACAAAACTGAAGCTTTGTTTGCACATACCTCAAGCTTCCACTAAATAATTGTGTAATTGTGGGGACTGTAGCGCTAAGCTCATCGGCAGAGCAGAACCGGCTTCGAATTTCCAGGGTCTGGATAGTGACAAAAAGCAGCGTACACTGCGAGATCCAGACTGCCCTTCTATCGGGATGCTAAACAACCTATTGTTCGCAAATACAATTTATATAGTATGAATTTGAGGGCAACGTTATTACAATACATCCTACCACTACCTACGATAGCACCAATCAACAGAAATTGATGATTCTTCCACATCATCTTGGTGATAGAACCAAAAAAATTAGATTGCAAAAGATCTGCCCTCTTTGACAAGCAGGCAACTGAGTGGACAACTTCGTGGCAATTGGTAAAAGTGTTAAGTCACCCGAGCAGATACCAGCACTGCTCTTCAAGTGAGCACCCCCACTCAGGGCGAGTAAGGTGGATCCAATTATTCACAGAACCGCAGGAGAATTTGCGCATAAGCCCATCATCTAAACTAGGCCACATACCAAGGACTGCAATCTCATGGTCGTGCGGCCTAACTTAGATGCACTATGCCGGAGATTGCATGGTTCAAGAATAAGTATAGAGTCAGACATAGCCTTAATTCAGTCACACTCCCTTTGCTCTGAACTCCCTGCCAACTCTATAAAATGCATCAAAAAGAAGCACTGCTCCCTTGATTTACAGAGATTGTGGATCCTTCTGATTTGATAAAAGAACCACCTATTTGACCGCTCATTGTTTGAAGCCCTCCGAATGTACCTCTTTGGAGAAAGTCATTGTGAGCTTGTTGCTGAGAGGACTGCTGCTGGAGTTGCTGCAACTGCTGGGCTGTAAGGGGCCCTTGCCCAAGTCCGTAAACGTGCCCAGTCAATCCATTCATCTGTCCTGTGGCTACCTTTAGTCGTTGTACTTCATCTCGCAATGCTTCATTGAGTGCTGTATTGCAACAAAAATAAACAAAATAAACTCAATATGACAATTCCTTTTCGCTGGTAAACCTTGACTTCCACATAAGTGCGCGCACATCCGTCCCTAAACCTTACAAGGAGGCAAGCATATGCAACCGCATACGCTAAGACAGCTGTAAACACCTTTAGAATCCCATGTCAACCAGGAAAAACAGACCGATTAATTGTCCAGATGGTCAGCTATTATACACAAATTGTAGGAAAAACGGGAAAATTTTCCATCGCATTCACGACCGGAACTCCTTCCCCGTAACATCAATTTGTAGGAACTTACAGGAGAGTTGTTGCGACATACCATCACGAAGTTGGGCTTGTTGCTCCATGGCCTGCAAACGCAGCTTAAGTTCACTGTTTTCGGTGGTGAGACCTGTAGTATCCCTCTGCAACAGATGATTTGTCCAAGATCAAAAGACATCCTCGCCCTGAACTTCGTACAACTAGGGGACAATGCTTCACCCTACTAGCTCTGGCTTCCAAGCGGGTCAAGCCTAAATGAAGACATAATCTTGCCATGACGGGACTAATAAAAGGTTTCAAAATAAATCCATATGAAGACAGCCAGGTCAGCAATGACTTTGCCTCACCTGAAGCATGGTAAGCTGCGCGGAGAGAGTTGTTGCCTCCGTTTGCAAGGTTTGCACTTTCCGCTCAAGCTCTGAGATGTACCTCATTTTCCGTTCCTTCGATCGTGCGGCAGATTGTCTATTGGCTAGAATTCTGAAGTACAGGTATTTACAGCCCATATGAGAACAACCAATCTTCAATTCAAAAGAAGCTGTAAAACTGTGAAATTACAAATCACCAACTTCTAACTCATCACAGGTATAATGCTTGATACGCGTCAGCACCCCAACAGGAAACGGTAAACTAACCAAAAAAACTGATGTAAAATACAAAGTTCAACGTAGACCAACTAATTTTCATATGCACATCTTACACAAACGAAAGAATCACAAGAAAAATCACCGAATCGAGGCAAGCAACGAACTCGCTTCAATTTCGTTCATACAAGAAGAACGCTCAAGACAATCGCCCGTTACTCACGGGAAATCGAAAGAGAAACATTGGAAAATTGAACAAAGTCGCAGATGTAGAGCATAATTTATCGCAGTAGATTGGACAGATGGCAAAATGTTTCAACAAAAATTACCTCCCAGTACAACCCAAATTTTCTACTGTGTTGTGAGGGAAACTAATGTCATCGAAGATAGTCAAAAAGAGGAAAAGAAAAAGACACGAACCTCTTGGCACGCTTTGGATCAATAAGTGCGATATCGGCCAGCTTTGCGGAATTCATGACCTTCTTTGCATCTGCACCATCAAGCTCTGCAGCCAAGAGATCATGCTTGAAGGAAGTCGAGCCATCCATAGAACTGCTATGCTGATGACGAGACCTGCGTCCATCTGATGGAAAGCCAGCACTTCCCCCAGAAAGGCCCATGCTACCTCGACCACTGTTAAATCCAGATAGCACTCCATCTACAGACAAGCTTCTAGAGTGGTGAGTGGGAGGAGGTGTAGACCCGCTGTCTGCTGCAGTACTCTTCGGACCAGGCAAGGGGGCTGATGTAGCGCTGAAGGAGTTTATTTTCTCCATGTCAATGTACATGGAAAAGAGATCTTCGGCCGCATCATCGGAAAGAGCGGGCATCTCAGAGCCATGCATACCAAGATCACGTTCGAAGGATACATCGTCAGGGAGTCGAAAAGCAATCTCCGACTGGGCACGCCTGTGACCCCTGCGACGAGGGGGCGTATCTGGCATCTGGTTGACATCAGTGCTGTAATTGTTGGCTGGGCTGGGATTTCTAGAGCTAGACGGACCTGTTACGCTAGGAGGTCCAGGCGAGGTCACCTGATCTTGCATGGAGACCTCTATAGAAAGGGAGTTAGCCGTTCTCATGGATGACTCTGATACGGAGGGTGACGCCTCCCTCTTGACCGTGAATGCATGTGTTGGTGACGGGTAGCCCACATATCGTGACTGGTGAAGTTGTGACTGAGAGGGATGAGGAGGGTGGCTGCTGTGAGTGGTCGTGTTCCCGTTTTGACCTGAGTTCTTAGCGGCACTTGTAGCTGCAAAATCCGATTGTAATCGCTCTACAAATGCCTCGTATCCGTCCCCGAGGCCGTCCATCCCCTCACAGAACTGTTTACTGCTTCCCAGCCGGGTTTGATGACGTTACTATCTGTTCCTGACAAGTTTGATCTCGAATACTGTGCCCTTTGCTCGTAGCTATCAGCGCCTGTTCTAACCTTTCACTCTGACAGGCAAGCGAACTGCAAACTTCCCAACAACTCTACTTAACGTTACGAAACCTCGTATCAACCTCGCTCTTTGCAGCCTTCTCTAGACGTCTCTTCCTGTGTCATGTGACTACTATGACATTTCTAGCTGCCGCCCAAGCGTTCTGCCTGAACTAGGGCCCATCAGAAGATGCAACGGTATTTTGTTGCTTTTGCATATTTGATCCACAACCTGCCCCACCACCAAAATGCACTCTTGGACCTGCTCTACACAGGCTGAAGCAGAGAACCTGACTTAGTCGCTGGTAACACTCGGTCCTCCGTGATTGATTTCACAGGCCCCTGTGAAGGTAACACACGCCAAAACAAGTCAGCAAACAAGCCAAACAGGTGCTAGAAGCAAAGAAGAGCAAACCGGGCAGCTAAGAAGTCTGAGGAACCAACAGACTTTGCAAGACGCGCGTGGCAATCGTTGGCACATAGATACAAGACAGACAGTGACACGTTTCGAGCAGGCATTCAAGGGCAGACGAAGTCGGCACCTATCACTCTGATCTACAATGTTCGAAGGAGTGAGGAGCCTCCCAGCAGCTGAGAAGAACACCCGATGGCCTACTTCAAAGATGACGGTAATTCACTGATCCCAAATCCTAAGAAGCTGTCCGCCTCCAGTGGCTAAGATGCATCGACGTACTAGTTATCGAACAAAAAATGAAGTCTTCTGCGCTCCCCTTTCGTAACATAAGCTTGAACCAGGTTCGCGAGCAAAACCATGCGCCCACACCACCGGGGGGAGAAGTCTGGAAGACGGGTTCTAACGGAAGAGAAACAAAACAAAATGAGCGGCCCCTTTCTTGATCACTTCCTCTCTATCACTCTCCTCGAACGCTCGCTGCCTGCCTCCGTCTCAAATGGGAGCACTCGAGATCCGCGTAACGCGCCTCGCACGTTAACGAAGGGAGCCAACAACGAAGAGCATGCAACACTAAAACCAGGGCAGAAAGATTTTCGGCATTAACTCGCGACATGCGCAGAGTGGAGCCTCCTATAGACCGCCCCAGATTTGCTCAGTACTGCACAGAATAGCCGGAGCCGGAGCGAGCAAATGCCGTGAGAAAGAAACAAAATTCTGAAGATAATCGATACCTAAACCATTCGTGTGCTGCTCCTGCTGCTGCCGCTGCGCGAGGCAAACCCGGCCGGTAATGGAAGAAGCAGACGAGTTCGAGCGCCAGGAGGAGCAGGAGGCGGAGGCTGCAGAGGTGCGGATTGACGAAGACGAAGAGGGAGCTGCGCCAACAGAAGGTAGAAGAGGCATCTCACATCGACAGCATAAGCGCGCAAAGAGTGCTGCGGGGAGCAGGACGGGGAGCCCGAGAGTCTAACCGAGCGGCCGCATGACTGGCCCACTAGTACTGCACCGTGACCCGGAAGGGAAACCAGCCTCCTGCCCCTCCCACTTCTGTCCATCCGTGAGCGCGGATGGATGGATGGATGGATCCTGCCGCTGCCGCTCCCGCCCGCGCCCCCGCTGCTGCACAGTGCCCGGCGGGCGGGCCCACCACCCGCCCATGCGTCTGTCAGAGAGCCGGAACGGACTCGGTGCTCGCTCTTCTCTCGGGAGCGCTTAAAGAACTGTATCTACGAAGGACTCGCGAAAATCAAGGTCAATCAGCGGGGCGGGGGGCAGAATCTTCCTGCGAGATAAGCAGCCGGAGCCTTCCGATCTCGGCCCCCGACGGCTGAGATCGAGCACAGTGAGGACGTCCCTTCACATGGAGGCTAATTCATCGACTGCTCGCGCGCAGCCGTCCGATGCCCTGCGCTCAATACAGTCCGTTCCTCCCTCCCGTCGATGCGCCTTCACGCAGAAAGTGACCCCGCTGCCGTCGTTGCCCGGTCCCGTGGGACGGAGGAACCGTGGGTTTCAAGCAAGTCTCTGTTCTCGGATGTGCGAATCTGCTGGAATCTGCTGTAACCGAGGCCTGGGACTCTAGGCGATGGGCCTCGGCTTGTAGTAGGTCCAGCAAGTCTGTCTCGACCGGCCCGGCTCGGTTCCCGAGCGCGAGGTGGGTCGATAGCGGCACAGCGTAGTAGATCAGAATCGCACATTCTGATGACTTTCGTCTACGGGATGTACGTCATTGTGCTTTTGTGGACACCTGTTTATCGGCAACAATCCACCGTGGTTCGAGTCTACCTGGTTGTAGGCTTTTCCCTTCAGTATGCTCTCAAAACTGTCCTGCTTTACCTGTTCTCCTATACTCCTGATGGTGCTAAGCGGTCCGTATTGTACTGTGCATGACATTTGCAGATCCGATTTTGTTCCAACACATAATAGAGCGACTCTCTCCTTGTGCAGTATGATATTAAAGTTTCGTACGGTTATCTCTTATTCCTCCTCGTCTTCAATATATCCTTGCCACCCATGTTACTGGCCATTTACGAGAAACCTTTGCTCTGAGAAACCAGTATTGCGCAGTAGGAATAAACCTCGCGAGGTTTTGAATGTCATAAATTTGGCAATATTATACGAAGTTGTTCACAATGCTTTTTCTAGCCCCTGGGTATTTTCTCTCTCTTCAAGTGATTGGATTGTAAAAGCTTCTTAACGCGCAAATATAGCTATTAAAATTTGGCAAGGACATGGCAAACCTCGCACATCTCACACTCTGTACAGCACTGTACAGAAAATATAATAAACACGAACAGTCTTAACATCTGGAACCATATGATGCGATTCGAAGGATACTGCGGTATGTCTTGAGGTTTTTAGTTCTATATTCACTGGTTTTGTCTCACCAACAAAATAGTTTGATGCCGATTCCTACAAAGTACATAGATGGAGACCAGTGATGACTGCAGTTGTGAAGATGTTGGGTCCACTGCATCCAAAATAAAACGATGGGGTCCAATTTATGGAACAACTTTTTCTGTACATTGACTTCATCCCTGGGTGGACATTGTCATGTTGGTAAGGACGTGATACAAAAACGCATCTTGCAGATTTGGAGGTTTTTTACTGTGATTTACATATATATTCACAGCAGTGGCGAATAATTTGTACACCATCTTTGGATATACGAATAACCATAACAAAAATTACGTTGTTTATTTCTGTATCAAGGAGAGGAAGAGAGAAATTCCACCAATTTCTCCTTATCTTCATTCATGTTTTAGACAATTTATTTAAACAATAATCATAATCTTAAATATGATGAAGAAGGAAGGATGAAGAGATCCACATATGTGTAATTAATTTTTTCATTCGTATATGAAAAATTAAATATTACTTATCATATCTGATTATACGATTTGATCTGTTCATAAAGGATTAGCTCTTCATGGTAGTATCAAGAATTGACAAATACTACTTTCGCTTTGAGCTCTGAAGATATGGCCTTGACTTCACACATCATCCCAATTGCAGTCAAAACAAAATCAGATCAAAACAAGGTTTAATTTCAATGTTCTGATCGTTCTTGTGACAAAGGGACCGCGATATTCTGTGCAATAAGATAACTAGCGCATCAACTTCAGGTTTAAATGACAAGGCGACCACCTACTTCAATTTGAACCTTCCAAGTATTCACGATCGGCCCTCGGGACCTCTACTTTCTCGACGAAGATGTCACTGAGCTTGTCCGCAAGACAGTCGCAAGATATGGAAACCGATGTTCGGACGAAACTACGAAGATGACCTCACTAAAATGTTCCTTGTTTCAGCAACCTACTGCTCTGAGCACAACTTCAGATTAATCAGCAGTTCAAAGTCGTTGAGATTCGAGAGCCGGGGAATGGTTTAGTCAGAATTCATGTGTGTGCTGATTTCCATGATACAGTACTTTGGAAAGAACAAGATACTCAGATGATCTACAGTATCACAGTCAGACTTTTCAAATATACGTTTCTTGAATTCAGAAGACAATACACCCACTCTCGCACTAAGATCTATCACTTCCCTTCCCTTGTTTACTCTTCGTATGAATCACGTTATAACATCACTGGCTAATGTTTAACTTTTTCTCCTGGACCTATGGACGTTCCCTGTTTCCTACCAACCACCCAAAAGAGTCAATCGCAAGAGCTAGTTCGAAAATCGTAATCGGAAAACAGACCACACTTATGGATAGATGCAAGAATAACATAAGCAAACACAGGTGGACTCAATCTAGGCTATCAGGGACATAGGCCTAGGCTAGTTCCTTGACGCTGGCTTTCGACCGTATATGGGTTTTGGACAAAGAAGAAGATAACATAGCAATGTCATGTAGAGAGACAAGTGAACCTGCGAGTCCTTGTTGTCTTCTGGACTTCGAGACAAAGTGACTTGATTTCTCCTGACCATTAAGTTCACTCTTTTTGGAACCAAACATCACTGTCTCCCTTCTAAAGACGATGTTAGCTTTTCTTCTTTATCCTACTTTCCTGCTTGTCCTAACCCAGAAAAAGTCTATCACTATCCCAGGATAAATTCTACCAGCAAGCTACAGTAGTTTCTCATGAGCTGTACAAAGTTATAGGTTGACTCCGATAGAATATACTACCTGTTCCATATCAAAGATCAGTTGCCACCTTTCGCATCGGTAGTCATCGAGAATATAATGGCAGGAACATCACCAATAGGAGAACTCATCTCTGCACTGTGGGTGTGCGGCCTCGCTTCGTGCCTTTGACATATTTTACTGGTGGGCACAACAGTAAATGAGAAAGGGCTGAACTGCATGCTTCATGGCAAAACACAAGCGAGTCATTAAACGTATTGCTCCCAAATTAACTAATATCGAGCTTAATATAAATCTTTAAATTGGTATGTAGCTTGCAGCGCCTACGTCGGGGATCCTGATGAAAAATGATTGGACACCACCAAGCGGTAAAATTCGGTAGACGATGTCCAAAGCGGCTCCACAATGCGAGGAAATGAGAAAGAAGTGGGAATATGCGAAGGATGCAAGAATTTTTTACGAAAGAAAACAGCGAACAGTTTTCTTGAATGCCGGCAACCTTCGATACCCATTTATGACGCGGGGCCTAGCCAGGATCTTACGCCTTCGAGTTCATCCATGTACGGCTCGATCGATGGGGTCTTCCCATGCTTTTTGGTATATAATTCTCCTCCGAAATTTATCATGCGCATGAAACGCTATCCACTTAATCACCGGATTTATTGATGCATACCAATCATGGCATCGAGGATTTGTGGCCACCTTTGATAGAGATCTGGGAAAACGACGAAGTGCTTTGAGCCACAGACTCACCGAGCTTCTGAAGAGAGCAGAGGAGAGAGCGGAGCGCCGGGGAGCACCTACTCAGAAGGACAGGAAGGAGACGGGGCAGACCAGGGTGGGCAAAGGGATGGAGAGGACAGGCTGGACGAACCGACGGGTAAGTCAGAACACGGAGTTCTCCCGCGTGACGAGGGTGCGCTCTGACGTCGGCAGTCAACAGAACAACGGTCCGCTCCACGTCCCGACTGCGGAGTCAAGCCAATTCCCGTAACACTTCTGGAGATCGGATGCCCCGATTTGGACGAGTTCAACCGAAGGCGCGTATTTATTGCGACGAGCTCGACCGGGCCTCCAATCCACCAGTCCCGTCAAGCTACCGTCTGGTGCAGTAAGAAAGTGGCGATTATCCGGTGGGCCCCGGCGCAAATTTAGCGGCTCGACAAGCAGTGTAACCGCGTGATTCAACGAACCTCCACCCACAGCTCGGTGATATCCACCCCACGCCCGAACCGCAAGTCAATTCCGAACGTGGTTCTACGTTCCGGAATATTTTACCGCAAAGCTGCATGTGCGTCGCGCATTTCAACGTCTGCCATCCCCGAGGCCCTACTCCCTCGTACGAACCCTTGTTTTGAGGCTTGCCCGTCTCCGGAGTCCCTTATAATATGATAAACCCGGCGACTTTGTATGCCGGCCCCGGCCACGTCGACGGGTTTGCGTTTGGGTTCTGCCTGTTTCTAGACTTGTTGGGGAGATCTTCACCTAACCATGTACGTACCTATGGATGATGTTGGTGCCTTTCTGCCTTTTCCTGATTTCTGGATGCCATGGCCAGATCCATGTCGCCATGTTGGAGCTTTTTATACATGGGCCTCATACGCAGGCCATGCCGTCCACTTGGACCATTCGGAGACCAAGCACCGGGACAGGAACTCAGTTGGTGCTGGCTGTACCCTTTCACTGTACCGTAGGTTTGTGTTCGTGAGAACTGCGTTGTGTGGTTGCGTTTCGGGGCAGAGCTCCACATGTTCTCGCAGTAAGAGTGCGTACCTGGTGTACGAAGGATGCGAAGACCCATCAAGTCGATCACTGTTCTCTCGAATAGTAACTCCATCCATTCGCCCACCGTACCGAAATGAACACGTGTTGATTAGTCACATGAGCCTATCCGGTGCACATAGACGTAGCTGAGTAAGCTGTGTTTGGATGATTTATTAATCTAGTATAATGCGACTTTTTTTGGTGCCTTCCACTTGGTGCCTTGTAAGAATATTTTATGTGCTAAAGCTCGAGTTCTTTGTTTCTTCTCCTTGAGTGATGTTTTGAAACGCGGCTTTGGCATAAGCTTTTGTCTCTTCAGATTCCTCTCTTGCTGGCCTCAAAAGTCCTTTTCAACGATTTTCTAGATTCTTGTCATCTTTCTCAAGCTCTGTACACTTCGAGTGCTAGTGGGGATTTATAAGTTTAGTTCTGTAACCTCTTAGTTTTCTTTGAAGAAAACTGAGAAGTTACAGACTGAAAACTTCGATCAGTTGTTATTCACTTGTTTTGTCCTTCACCAGCCTCTAATAGCATGCAATGTGTGAATCCTGTTTGGTCTTTTGCTACATGGTAGTAAATAAATTTCTGAAGAGTGCAAAAAATTTGGTGGAAAAAGTTAACTTAATGTCAGACTTCGCTATGTAAGTCTACTGGTAGAATCCGAGAATTATATCCGAATGTGACACTAGAAAGTGAGAAACCGTCCAAGGTACTTGAAAATGCAGAAGACATTAACACGTTTATGTTTAGTGTACAAGATAAAAACTAATTTGATTGCAAATAAGAATGATTTATGACAACACTTGCATCGCAGTATTCTTCATGATACCATGATGTTCTGATAGCTCATCTTAAATTAAATTGTCAACTGTAACGACATTATCTTCAGCCCATGATTTTGCGTGCTAGTCATCGCCTTGGATCTTTTAGTATCTTTGATGATCCTTGCATCTAAAAAAATTTTGGTATTTCTTAAAAATTTGTTTCATGTTCGATAAACAGAAAACATACATTTCTTTGTGTATGTTTTTATCATCTTTATCCGTAAAGTACATTCTATGGGCCTTTATGGACAACATATCAGCAAATGTTAATAACTCCTCCGAATGCTTGACATACTTGGCCCACTAATTCTTAAGTGGGTGAAAAAACAAATATTAAAGGGCTGAGATCCATTTCACGGCAATTTGATTGAAGAACATGACATGCATTTGATCGAGCCTGGAAAAACTACGATTGCTCATTGGCTGTCTTTTGAACTCTATAAAATATAATTATATAAGATCCCCCAAGTGAATTGTAAAGTACATTTTTTCAGTGGCTTTTGGGTTTTATATGAAGTAAAAAGTACCCCACCTAGTTATCAGGTCTAGTTTTTGATAGAAATTTAACTCTTCTGTCAACAAAAGTGTTCGGTTTATTGACTGTCTGGAAAAAAGGCAGGAACCTTCAAATCTGTTCGCAAAGGTCAACTCAACTGCTCATTCGTTTTCACACATTGAAGTAAAAATTGAGATCACTATACAACAAGGAGACAATACTATACGATCAGATTATCGACACCCTCATCGTAGAGTTCATTTCATGGAATATTGTATACAAAAGAACATAAAAGATCTGTAGGGTTGAGACAAGTTTGAGGATTTAGATGCTTATGGATACACATGTGTTCATTTAAAAACGTCAATCGAAATGACGATCACATCGCTGTTACCAAACTTTATTCCGTGTCATAATTTCATTTCCATCTCCTCCCACTCGACACTTAGATTGTGGCTTTTGAGACAAAATAACCTACTTCTCCATAGGGAGGCACAAAACTATATTGAGTTTGAGGTTCAATTATCATACTCGGCTTGCTCTTATCCAGTTTTCTAGCGGTATTAGTGCTATTTTAGCTCTACAACAAGTTGGACCTCTGAGGAAAGTCTTCACCTTCACAACTCACGCAAGAGTTTCCAGAGATTGGATGGAAGGCCATGTTCCTTCGAGATATTCTCGTCAGCCAGTTTGTTATCTTTCCCATATTGGAACAGTTCAGTTTTCAGCGACGATTGATCCTTGAACACCAAGTTAGGAATCCAGTTAGGTACAAAATCCAGAAATAGCTAATGTCAAGTATTTTCTCATCCGCTGCGGTATGTCCTTTTCGATTTGTATCTCAATGTAAACACTTCAATGTTGTGAGCATTTGATCGCTCATCTCTTCCACAAGCGCAACTCATGAAAGTGTGTACAACTTATCGCCTTACGACCAGAACATAATAAAAAACTTGCCGTCGTACAGCTCTTTGCTGGCTTTTGATGGTGATTTACACACCGAGACAAGACCTTCGATCTCAAATAGGTTAATAACGGCTTCGTTTGGAAGAATCAAGTTTATGGCATAAACTCAGGGTTGATGGTTTAGACCTCCAGTAGCAACTAGTGACAACCAGAATGTCATATATGCTTCGTTACAGAAAATCCATGTTCCATTTCCAACCTTTCCACACATACTGCACATTTCGACCTTTAGTCTCATAAAAACGTCGAGGTAAAGCGAACGAAACCTTGTTGTCCAATAGTTTTGTATCAAAGAAAATGTGCTCACCGAATTGTCCAAAAAAAGGTACAAGTTTCCCACTTCGTTCTTGCCTGCAGATTCACATTTCACAGTTTATCCTCGACCGAAATTACCTCAACGCCCATGTGCAACAATCATTGCTTGTCTTTATGCTCGTCTCAATGTTCTGGCACACGAGTAGACACTACTTGATAGCAATCGGTGCCTGTCCTGAGGTAATTATTACACTCAACTTTTGAAGCAATTTCATCTGATGACTCAAGAAAAACATTAGACGTTTAGCGATGTATAAACTGCAAATAATAGTCTCAAGTCTCGTTCTCGGTAGAGGCTACTAAAATGATACATACCATGATGGACTACGTGCACACTTGAAAAATGACGACTCATATACTTCAGAAGGTCAGAGACCTACACCAGAAGACTGCAAAACAGGTTAATAATGAATTGCTGTAGGTCAGCAACAGTCCGACAAAATAGAATCAAAAGGGACAAAGCTGAAGGATGCGGAGAACAAGGAAGCTTCCTACCCCAGACACGCTTTACATACAATGACAATATCAGATTTTAGGAGTATCAAACGCAGAGATGCAAAGACAGTGGCATCTGTGCTCCCTCCAAACACTCATCTCCACCCAAGTTGCCAAACGATATCGGTTTCAGGCCAACACACTTCCCTAACAAACACAGAAATGATATCGCTGTGAAGAAAGATGCTCGTTAAATTTTGCCTCTGAGCCTGATGACAGTATACCCCGCGTCCTGCTTGAAGGGTGTTTCTAAAAGGTAAGAGACGAGACATGATCTCCTTCCCGCCAGTGAGCTTAAATCACAGGCCAAATTTTTTTCTCTTTCCAAGTGATTGTAGTGATACAAGTGGAGGGCATTAACAGTATGAACTCTGCGCGCGAGTTGGCCCCATTATGTCTCCATCTACTTCAGTCAAGAGACTTCACATGATGAAAAAAAAAGAGGCGCTCAAGTGAGACCTGAACTACTGGCTACAGTTCAGCAGTGTGATGGACGTCTAACTTTCAACTAGATATCGTATAAACATCTGTCGAGAGTCAGACAGTAAAGAAGAGATCTCACTTGTGTCGTTGTACCAATGCTTCCCTGGACGTGTCGGTACAGCTTGAAAAGCTATATCGCTCAAGTTTCATAGTCTGTACTCCCCAGTGATTGCACAGATGCTTCTGTCTAGTCTTTTAGCGTCTGTTAGTATCCACAATCACTACGATCCACTAGATTATCCTGTCAATTCATTTCCTGGATAAATTCCTTGATGAGCGAGAACACCATCTTGGATGGATGCGTTCCATGGTTCTTAACCCCATGAACATCCGTAAAGGTCGCCCGACGATCCCTCAGTTGTAGTACAGTGCAATTTACACATGGAGAAGAATGCAGGGCCAGTCCGGGGAAAAATGGATGGAGAAAATGCTCCAGGTCTACTCGCAAGCTCAGCAGTCCTTTCTTGAATGAGCAGCTTGATGGGCCTCTAGGACTGTGCACGCTGAATCAACGACCAGTTGGCCACCAACGTAGTGTTGCCTGCACACCGGCATGTACACATCGGCTCCACCTATGATCGTCGTTTGTATATCTAAAGTCTTTCGGAACGTGAAGAGTGCTGGTTTCCCGCAAATTTCACACCGAGATGCCAGCTTTACTACGGTGTCTGCAACTCTAACCAAGTCAACGGTCGATCCAAACTTACGTCTGTGAAAAGAACAGGAATCAGTGATGAGACGAAATTTTTGTGATTGGTTTACGGAGTTCCAATGTCGACAAGAGAAGACATCAAGACACAACAGAAATCCTGAACCACGAGTCGTGTGAACTAAACGAGGTATATTAAGAGGCAAGCGCAAGGGCACACTGTAACTCGTAAATGGCCACATTCAAGAGACTGACAACATGTAAAGAAAAGGTGAAGAACGGAGGGCTTTACCGCAGAAAGTCTCCATCTAAACCCGCTGCTATGACGGTCTTGCCCTCATAATCGGCGGCGGTAAGACAAAAATCGTAAAGATCCGTAAAAAACTGGGCCTCGTCGATTCCTATGACATCAAACTGCTCGAATAAAACCAAGAGACGTTACTATCACGTGAAAATGAATGCTGGAAAAAATGAGGACAAGACATGTTGACCCCTTTCAAAGTAAAATGAACGGATACGCACAAGTTCAAGTCGTGAATTTGCTTGCTAACTCTCTATTGAGGTTTCAGGCATGTCGCCACATACCTCTTTGTATAATTTGTCTCCAACTTGTGCTTTGAATGTAGCAAAGTCCGGAACGGCATAACAGGGCATTTGAAGACCATCGTGAGTCACGACTGCAGACAAACCATACCTCGAGTCTTTGTCAGACTTCACCAGCGCCACTCTCCTGCGGAACTTTCGCGGTGAATTGCAGGGACTGAATGAACATAAAACATCTGGAGAAACTTCTTCCTCTCCTTCCCTGTCAATCTTGCAAGCTAGAACTAGCCCCACTCCCTAATTTCCTATTGCTCAAAAGTTGAAGCAAGTAAGCGATTCTCACCTGCCAGCACTCGCTTCCTCCTGAGCTCTTTTCAGAAGAGCTGTGCTCTTGCCGGCAAACATAGGACCAAGAATCAAGTGTATGCTCCCACACTTATCCTGGTACGACTCGGCTTCAAACGTAGCAGTGACTTCAACTTCACCCGCCATAAGCCCCACCCCATCACTTTTCGCAGCCCCATTGCTCCTCTTTTGCTTCATAACTCCTCTCCTGGCACCGCAACCGCGTTTCTTCTCACCTTGCGTTGCCAAAGACCTCCTCACCTGTCGGCAAGAATCGCCCCCGCCCCACCCTGCGACACCGGCACCATTTGCCAACCCAACACTACTTCCCCACGACCGGCCTTCGCATCTTGCACGCCCAAGGTTGAAGCCGGGAGCAAAAACGCTCAAGGCATTCGAGCCACTGCCAGCGAGCTGGTGAAGCGTGCTCACAAGCCTCCCTGCCAACAACCCAGACACTCCAGGAACGCACGCATTCTTGACGAAGACCGACGACGTCCCCATCCTAAAACCCTCTCGCCGAATGTGGTAAGATAAAATCCACCTTTTCTGGAGATTTCAAAACCCCATTCTCCTCGTACATGACCCCAGTTACCACCAGGGCCTACCGCATTGCCTGGCTCCCTGTTTGCCCTGGTGGCGGGAATTGTACAGATCAAAGCCGCAGTCCGACGCAGCCTAAAATCCTCATTACAGACAATCGCCAATATGTGCGAGTCTGTGCTCCGACACCTTGAAGCTTGTGAAGCATCTCTCTGCGTGATTTTATGTCTTATCGTAGAGCTTTACACGCTCCTTACAGCGTCCGGACCATCCGCCATCGTACGCCTTCCCGATATTCATATCTAAGCACCTCGGCAAATATCACGCCAAATCGTTAACGGAGACCATACCGCTAATTGACTTCTTCGATCCTCCACTCCCGGCCACGTCACCAGACTTTAATCCATCGGAATCCCGCCGCCGGAGCCTGCGCGGGCCCTGCTGTCGTGGCGATCAGCGGGACCTTTACGGAGATGGAGTCGGATCTTGCGGCTGGCAGCGGACTCGGAGTATCTGAAGCCCGGGAAATCTATGAACGCTGCTGCTGGTGACCGGCAGTTGAGGGGAGTCGGAGTCATCCTTGCCAATTTGACTCGAGCCCTACGATCCCGGCGCATCCTCCATCCGACGGGGATCCAGCGGTTGCTGCTGGGCTCGGTTGGTTTCGCTGGATCAGGAAAGGGAAAAGGTTCAGAGCTCGGAGCGAACCTTTCGGGATCGTCTCCAGTTCGCGATCGCCGTCGCAATCGTAACCGTTGACCAGCGTTTCTCAGCCGTCCCCTCGTCTATGTCATCTGCACGAACGGTGGCACGAGGCGCACTGTGCTGCCCTGCCCCATTGCCGCAGCGGGTCCGCGATCTCAGCCTTCGCGCCATCATCGTCCGGTCCCGGGGAACCCAACTGTGTACGGTGAGTCTCCCTCCATGCGTACGCGTGACGTTTCTCCGAGGGTCAGAGCGCGGGTCTTTGTTGTTGAAGTCCGCCTTCTTTTGGTGCTCGGCAGTCCACTCTGGTCTGTACTACAAATCACCCGATCCTGCCGTCGCATCCCATTCGTAAAACACCACCCTTTCTCTTTCCACGAGATCCATTTGCTTCCGGGGCATCATCGTCAGTCTTTCTGAATTCTGAAGAAGGGAAATCTTCGTCATTAGCGAGATTAGGAGTTACGGCAAATGTGAAAGACAAAGAGGAAATGCTTGGCTTCATATTCGCTCCATCGGATATTTGACCTGGGCGAGATTTTTGGTTGATTTTTGGTTTCGACTGGTACTTGGAAGAATTAAAGGTAACACGGATGTTCAAATCTTGATGTAATGAAGCAAGGAAACCAATATTTTTGTGTAGGCAATATACTCACTTAGGTCCATATCGATAAGGGACGTGTTGAGCGTTCAGATGATAAATTAGTTTAAAATGTCATCTTCTTTTCAGTGAAGTAGACAAATTCAGCTCGTAAAAGACACTTGGAACACATGTGCAGGGTAAAAAAAAAAAAACTGGCCACTCTTCTCATCACTTTTTAATGGTAGATGCAATTCCATTGTTCGTCAGTGTCAAAATCATGGTGAGTGTGCACGCTGGTCCTTAGGGAAGTGGATATGAGAGAACATGGATTCTTGTTCTCTAGGGCCTAGACTCTATGATCATGGAGTTCGCCTTGCAATACTAGATGCGAAGGCCAATGAGTAGTGTGATGCATTTCGAAACTTCACATAGGCCCTATTAAATTAGGGGCTCGCAATCGGGCACGTTCGATTTCAATGATGATCCGATAGAAGCAACAATTACAGTACTCTGTGTTTCAATGTCAAAGCACATTTGTTAGACGAGTGCATAATCAAGGCAAGTGTAAAGCTTCGGAATGCGTCGGCAAGCTGTCCAAGAGCAATAGAGCATTATCTTCTTTACTTATCGCCCTCGAGAACCTCGAGGCGTTGGATACTAAAAGGTCTGCTAGGTTCGCTTAATGTTCTCGACCTGAGCCAGCCCCTCCCGGTAGTACAACGTGTGACTTGTCAGAGTACAGTTTTGTGACTTCTGTTCATTCTGCTGTGGATCTGGCGGACGATGGCGGCTTCGGTTCTGAGCATGATGAACACGTGCCACCAACTATGATTGCACACCGACCGCGTCAAAGGACGCCGAGGTTGAGGTTATTCTCTCGATCGAGGGGTAACCTATGAAACATTACACGCATCCCGCAATTTTGACATCCTCGCTTATTTTTGTCCCATTTCTGCACTAACGTCATCAGTCACCAACCTCGTTCTCCACTCCTTCTCACATTTTAGGAAGAGGTCGTGCGTGGCAAATAGCCTCTTGTGGGTGGGTTTGAAAGAACTCGTAAGGTGATTTCCGGGACATAGCCTTGCTATGGTGGGGATTTAAATCCATGTGGAGTAAACGAACCCAAAATATACATTTATAAGGGTTGATATTTTCTTTTCAGTCTACGAATAAATCTATTTGGCTGCTAAGTCTTAGCCAACACCACGACCCTAACAAATTACCTCTTATCCGTGAGTCTTCTGGGATTGCGAATACTTAGTATTATAGCAACAAATCTGAGATTCCTACATGGAAGAATCCAGATGGAGCAAGGTACACAGTTGGAAAATATAACACATCACCTGATTTATTCCAACTATCTAGGTGAAAACATCTTGAACATCCCCAAAGCATCATCTGACCTATCCCAACTATATAAGTGACATCCATGTACCCGGTTGCTTGCTATGCTAAAGAGTACGATACCAGGTACACTTTCTCAAACTCTCACATGAAAGTGTTCAAGTCGCCCTGTTTGCCGTCTTTTCGGTAATTTGGGTAATCATTCCTTCCAAAATGATATACGCGAAGTATATGTGAAAATAACAATTACAAGAAAATATAATCCTTTAAAGTTCAATTTATGTGTGTTTTAACTTAATATCATAAAATGTTATTGCACTCATATTTATTTTCCTCAGGAACATTCAATGTAAAGTGAGCTCTAATTACGTTTGAAAAATCCTTTCATGTTTTCTGTCTTACATTGCCTAGCCCTCTTTCAAAATTTCTCTGCTCTGCGGGAATCTACCGCTAGTTCAGAACTTATTTTATAGAAGTTTAACCTCTCAATGTATCAAAAGGTAAAAAGGAGTAATTCAATTCAAAAAGTCTACGTACATGTAACACGTACATTTCTTATTTAAGCATTCAATACACTTAATACGAAAGGGTTGCCAACTACTCATATAAAAGGCTAGCTGATCTTACGAACCAACTAACTCCTATTCAACAAAATCTAAATCTTAGGAGTTTACCTTTTGATCCATATATTAAGATTTGTAACCTCCCTTAAGTATGTAAATACTGTGTGGTAAACCCTTAAATAAAATCTAACACATATCACTACTTAAACTATAATGCATCAAGCTTAAGCCGTATCATTATATACAAATTCTGCATAGTCCAATGATGCATTACAAAACTTTCTGAAGAAATCATTTTCATATAAATGCCAATAGGACTAACCTACCAAAATATATATATATATATATATATATATATATATATATATCCGTTATCATGATCTATTTAGTCCGTTTACAAAAAAATCATCATGCTTTAATGTGCTTCATTTTATTTACTTATAAAAAATTAAAAATAGACTCATCATCATCTACATTCACAATATCCAAACTGTCAATATGTTGTTCAATCCACTAAGGAGGTTACATTTCAAATTTTATATACTCATTTATTAATCATATATAATTATTTTAAACAAAATTATACTCTTCAAGACTTGTTGTAAATCAAATTTGAGTTTTATCATATAATATTGTTCATGATATGAGAATCATATTATAATCATCATTGGTGCATATATAAATATACGATTTTCCACACGTTCAACACTCATCGCCAAATGATTGCAAATAATCATCATTTGTGCATATCTTTTATTTTATCACTATTTCAATCAAATTTGCAAACGTTTTAATTTGATTGAAAATATATTGTTCATTTTATCATTTCATAAATAAAAATTATGAATTACAAATTTATGTTTGCCAAAAATCTGATATTAATCAAAAGATTTGAAATTATATTAAAATAGTTTTGTTTAATACATAAACTATATGTTCATCCAATATAACAAATATTTTGAAATTTTAGATTTTTTAGATTGGAATAAGTTATTTCATATGTGTCGTCTCTAAAATAATAAATTGAAGTTTAAATTTATTTTTTAAATTATGCAAGTAAAATGTGCATATTCTGCGATAAAATTTCATAAAATTATACAATTTGATGTAGAACTTTCCCATTATTTAAATTTATTTGTTCAAAGATATGTGTATACACGTAATATAATATCAAAAATAATAAAATTATATCTTTATATTGTACAAGCTCAGTAAAACCTAATACATGGAAAAAAATTAACTTCAAAGGATGAAATAAATATTTTGAATCCTAAATTATTTAAAATAATAAAAAATTTAAGGTTTTTTGGGGTTTCATTCTTCGTTTTTTTGTTGAATAATTGCAAAGTTTTGAATCACAATTGATATTATAATTATCACGTTGATAAATGATGTATATTTTTGCAATCATAATGAATTATTAAGAAAATGAATAATAAAATAATAATAAATTATATTGATGATTAATAATTGTATATGTTAGCACTTTCTGAAGTCATTTCACCCAAAAAATAAAAAATCCTCAATTTACTTCACCCAAACTATTGAATCCATTCAAGATATTCATAATTAAAATGTACACTGAAAGTCATGAAAAACAAAAATATGAAAATATGATCCTAACATACATTTTAAAAATCTTCTTTTTAATAAATTGAGAAATCATGAAATGTACAATTATATAAATACATTTTCACATTGAAAATCGATATCTTTCAATCAAATAATTATTCTTATATGATGTTCTCAAAGAACAATTTTTGATTGCATTCATATATCTTAAAATGTTTTACCAATCATATTGAGTTTTTCAAAGTTATACTAATGTAAATCACAAGATAACATTTTTTATACAGTATATAAAAATATATGAGTCTGATATATTTTCACATTTATTATGGTGTAGAAAGTTATCATTCACAAATTCAACTAGTATTCCTAAAAATTATTGGCAACATCATATTGTTGTGATCTTACTATTAATAATAATGAGATCAATTTGTTTATGATAATAATATGACTAATTAAATGCACAAAGATGGGGTTGATATATATATATATATATATATATATATATATGTGTGATGAGATAAATTATTCGTTTAAAATTTATTTGAACTTTCAAAGTTAAACATTTCACGACTGACATCAGTCATGGTTAGTTGTTAATTCTTACATTAGTTTTAAATATCGTCAGATGCTAACTTATCAAAATACATAAACAAGAATCAAAATAACATGTTCAATTCCTAAACATGAAATAAAAAATAATTAAATATATTGAAAATAAGTTATTATATCAAGTAAAATATAATTAAACATCTAGTTGATAACTTGTTCTGAATAATAAATAAGAAGAGAAGAGACAGAGTTCTGTTAAAATTCATAACATTTTATATAAGTATACATGCATCTTATCATATGATGAGTTGAGTACAAGAATAAAAACCTAAACTAAATCCTTGATAAAGTATAGATTTGCATCTCATATCTATAAGGAGTAAAAGCCATGTCAACTTACAACATCCAAGCTCTAGACTCCAAACTATAAAATAATTCAAACTGCTCAATTATTGTAAAATTGCAAATTTAGAAGGAAGTCTTATGTAGTTGCACTAATATACATAAAACGAGTTTTATATTAACAAATATATCTGTTGTTATATGAAATTACATCGATGAAAGTTTAAACATTACGATCATGTAAAAAAGTGGACATTTCGTGGGAGTGATAGATACATGTTTGTGTGAAAGAGTGTATTATATGCGGCGAGTATTTAATGTACTAGATTTTAATGTACAGTTTTTAAAATGTAATGTTTCATTGCTGTACATAGATCAATAGCTATTGTCATCTATAGTTAAACTGGACGATGAATCTTGAATTGCCATGTGTTCGTAGTGGATATGGTAGATGATACAATTTTGGTTTCATGTGTATAAGACTCGATGGTGTCGACCATACTTTGTGCCCATTTACTTCGCTCTCTTCGACACCGGGGAGGATGGTAGAGGAGCACCAGCAAAATTCTGAAAAGAGACAATCGTTTCGTCAGACCATGCCAGTAGGCAAAATAATGCGGGAGGGAATCAGTCAGCCCAAGATATTCCTTAGGGTTACAGGGCGTCCGCAATCATGTAATGCGTGTGTGAGAACAGGGAGCGTGGGCGTTCATACAAAGCGCACGTTTATGCTGTAGGACCTTCGGGATCTCTGGTCTACCGACCAGCGGACTTGTCTGACCGGTGGGGAAAGCATGGGGCCCTGAATACCGGGAGGACAAAAGACCGAAGGAGCGCGGGGAGCGGTGTGTCCTGTCCGTGGACGAGCGGGAGGGAGAGGCTCAGAGGGCAGCGCAAGCAAAAGGTCCAGCGCCAATCGGACAAAATTCTCCATCGCTCGACGAAATTCTGTCCTCCCTCTCCTCCTCGTCTCTTCTTCATCACCTCTCCCCGGGACCTCGTCTCGGCTCCTCTTCACTCTCCTCCGCTTCAATTTCCCGGGCCAGCTGCGCAGGTGCTCGGGGTCTGAGGCGTCGAAGGGTCTGACAGCGAGGGTAGTGCCTGTGTTGCTCGTCGAGTTCCTGCGGGGTGGTGGAGGAGTGGAGCAGAAATGTACACGATTACTGGAGGGCGGGTCTCGGTAGCGGGAGTTGCCGAGGCTGCGCCAAAGCTGCAGCAGCAGCGATCGGACATTTTGGAAGGCGAAGGATTGCGCTCGCGTCGAGTGGACCTAGGTCGATTCGCGGCAGCTGCGCCCCAAAGAGTTGTGTCTCGGAATCTGGGTACGGTTTGGTCACTTTGTCGATTGACCTGACTCGCCCTCGTCCTCTTGTTCCGTTTGCGTTGGAATTCTGTTGTCTGACATTTTGGTTTTCTGGGGTGCATGTTTTCTCGATTTGCAGAAGTGCGTGCTGGTGTGGGCAACACCTTTGGGAATGTTTTTAGAGTGACCACTTACGGTGAGTCGCACGGAGGAGGTGTGGGATGCATCATCGATGGGTGCCCTCCGAGACTACCTCTAACGGAGGTGGACATGCAATTCGAGCTGGACAGAAGGTGGGTTTCGTGGATCTTTGTGAGGGGCCATGCACTGATGTGTCTGTTGATACCTCCTAATCTGATTTGCCTGCTCAATCAATCCACATCTTTCTCTATCTTAAACTAGATAGGTTTGTGTACCAGAGTATCTCTGAGTTGACTGAGGTGGACGAGAGCACGGTGTTCACTTATGGCCAGCATGATCTTCAACACTAGAGTTTTGCATAGAAGCATATGCTGAAACCACCATATGCCACCAAATCAGTTTCTCTGGTTTTGGTGGCATATAAAAACTCCGCCAGCTCCAACTGATTTAGTGTAAAAAATTTGAGTTGAAGTCACTTATTAACAAAAAGCTGGGATAGCTCAGTGGAGAGAGCAAAAGTGTTCATTTTGGAACAGAGTATTGCATAGTTTCATCGAAGACAATCCGTATGAAATGGAGATTAGCATTTTTTTTATTACAGGTCAAATCACTACCTTCAGCTCATAACAAATTAGATCATCACCTTACATTTTTTAGTTCAGATTTTTGTTTGTATAGGAGAGACTGCACATTTACTAGCCTACTCGACATCAGACTCGTCTGTCTGCTCGCGCATGTAATCCGGTTTGACACCATGCTTCTGCCATCAGCTGTTAATCACGTTTTACCCCAATCAGACCTTCACCCCAATCAGACCTTAGTCGGCAAAGACTTCTGGAATTCTGGAATTTCAGCTAAAAATTTTTATTTCAGGATGTATGCAACTATATACGGATGTCAACAGCGCCAAATAAATTTTGCACAAAGATAAACTTACTTGATAGTCGTGGACCACATAGTAAAACCGGGATCCATTACAGAATTGGGTTATTGAAGCAACAAGAATTAACATGCAACCTGAAATTATAACAGCTTATGAAGTACCAGAGGAAAGAACAGGAAGAGGAAACAGGCGATTCGTGATAACAAATGATAGCTGAATTGTCAGAGGTCTCAGTATTGAGCTACTGTTTTGGTGAATGTCTCTTTTGCAGAAGGCCCGGCCAGAGCAGAATCACTACTCCTCGAAAGGAGACAGACACCTGCAAAATTTTGTCTGGTGTCGCTGATGGTGAGTCCCTTAGTATGTAAAACATGTCGTTTGTTGAGTCTGTCAAGTGGCTGCCTTGTATATCTTGCATTGGATAAGTGTTCAGTACTCACTCTATCCTCGTTATCTATATACAGGTCTTACGTTAGGGACTCCGATTGCCGTGGCCGTTCCCAACACCGATCAACGAGGAGGGGTCAGTAGATTATTTGGTTTTTCCACATAGCCTTTGTTCTATAATGAATAGCTATATAGCAATGTGTATCTCCCTGTAAAAGACAGCTGTCATCTAACTTGAGTTTACTTATATTTCTTCCTGATTGCAGGATTACTCAGAAATGTCCCTTGCGTACAGGCCTTCTCACGCTGATGCCACATACGACTTCAAGTACGGAGTACGTGCGGTTCAGGTGAGATGCTGTATATTCTTATGGACTTCTGATAATGCAGCCCCGTTGGTTGACAGACATTTCGTTTTTGCTCTACTCATGGGGGTTCAGGAACGCCTCTTGCCACACTTTCTGTCTTCTGCGTACAATACCCGCATGGGAAGGTTTCAAACTTTGAATGCTTCTTTGTGAAGACGGTTGAAATTCTGAATCATCACATGATTAGTTGATAACTCTTTTTATGACGTCTTCCAGGGTGGTGGCCGATCTTCCGCTAGAGAAACTATCGGACGAGTTGCGGCTGGTGCAGTTGCCAAAAAGCTACTCGAGCAACATACTGGCACCCAAGTAAGTAGTCGGGTCGTTTTTACTTGTTACACTCAAGCATGTGTCCATAGGCCCTGTGACCGGGTTCATGTCGAAGACGTAGAAGCTAAATGTGCCACCTTTTTCTTCTGGAAATAGAATGTTCGTGATGTATCAGTTCTACTGTTTCGTCAGTTACACTCCCTGTTTGGCATCAGTCTAGGTTTAATGATTAGTCGTCTGGCGCTGTCTCTTACGAAAGTGTTGTGGTTCAGTGCCTCTGGTAACCTGGGTCTTGATGAGTTTTATAGAGGCTGATGATTTTCTAGGACACATGATTTTGAAAAGTCTCTTCATCTTCCAGGTTTTGGCCTATGTCTCCCGAGTGCACGGAGTGGAGCTACCAGAAGGGCTCATAGATCACGACAAACTCACGATGGAGCAGGTTGGCGATCTCCTCCTGGTCAAGAACTTGGCACTAAAATCTCTTGTGGACTGCATGTGTCCTTGATTTCAGGGTTTGATCACTGATATTAACCTCTGTTTTCGACAGATTGAAGCCAATATCTGTCGTTGCCCGGATCCTGAAGTGGCAGTAAAGATGATCGCCGCTATCGATGCAGTGAGAGTAAAGGGAGATTCCGTCGGAGGAGTAGTAACTTGCATTGCCAGAAATGTTCCTCGGGTGAGTTGCTTTAAGACTGTTTTTGCAGTGTAACTTGTGTAGAGAAGAACAAATCTATTTATTCCATTTTTGCGAAATATATTTCCACTTGCGTGTTCCCCTCAAATCCTTCCTGTGTTGGGCACACTTTTCCCTATGAGTCCATTCATAGTCCATCCAGAAATTGTAGCGTCAGTATGCTGGTTTTATCGAACGCACTACGGCACACAGGGCCAGGTTGCCCTTGAACCTCTGTTAGGTGTGTTCGATTCTCATTACCCAAATTCAGGCAATGTTCATCTGTATAATGTTTACACATCTGTGAATTTCTATTATTTGCAGCAAAGTTAATCACGTACGTGTGATTCACAGGGACTCGGATCACCGGTATTCGACAAACTTGAGGCTGAGCTAGCCAAAGCAGTCATGTCCTTGCCAGCAACGAAAGGTTTTGAAATTGGCAGCGGATTTGCAGGTACATTGTTGACTTTTCTTCTACCATGAGACAAGTGGATTCGGTCATTATGAAAAATTGAAGCGTCTGCTTCTGCATATATGATTCTGACATATACAAGGATTAAATACTAGAGGAAAACTGCTGAATTAGTTGTGTATACAGGTCTTTCGTTGTTTAGATGTTCGTGGACGTAGAAAATGTCTGTTGTAATGGAGAAGAAGATCATTCAGTAATTGATCACGTTACCACTCACGGCATTGGTGATTCATATATTGCTAGAAATAACGAAATATATGCAGATAACTTCATGTTAAAAGGTACCGTACTGTGGGGTGAATAAAGAGAACTCATACATATCGATCTCCTTGACGCCACCTGCTTTTGTTTACAGGCTCCCTCATGACAGGATCCGAGCACAATGACGAGTTCTACATTGATGAAGCGGGCAGCATACGCACGCGCACGAATCGATCTGGTGGAATCCAGGTGAGGTGACATGCGGTGTGTCTTCATTCAAAGAAGAAGGGACTGAAAAGGATCTCTGTGGTCATTCGCATGATTGCTCACCAAAAGATGGTTCCGTGCAGGGTGGAATCTCAAATGGAGAGACAATTGTTATGAAGATTGCCTTCAAGCCAACCTCTACAATAACTGTAAGCGCCCTCATACAGTATGAAGAGTGAGAGTGAAGACATTGCGGTATCATGGCTTTTGTTTCACCGCTAGCATCCAGACGAGATTGTTTTAGACCCTACTCGCGTGCACGGGAGATTTGTTCTAAGCTTGAAATGTTGGTCCGTGTTGGTAATATGCAGAGCACCCAAAAAACTGTAACTCGAGATAAGCAGGAGACTGAGCTTAGAGCTCGTGGTCGTCATGATCCATGTGTCGTTCCCCGAGGTATTGGACGTTTCCGTAGTTGCCAGTTTCTTCGAGAATTTTCTCTGGATGTATCTTCAATCCGAATGATCATGAAACTGCAGTACTGAAAATTTGATGGAAATTGGGAGAATGTTCTTCCCTCATACTCGACGACCATGGATCTTTCCATCGTCGTACCATTTACCACACATACGCCCAACTAGCTATTGACTTCGATGTTTTGCTTGGGTGCAGCTGTGCCTATGGTGGAGGCGATGGTGGCTCTTGTGCTGGCAGATCAGCTACTTCAAAATTACGCCCAATGTCAACTGTTCCCCGCAGACCCGATCTTGCAGGGAACAGAGTCAGCGAAAAGAGCAGCTACTCCCATGGAAGAGGCCGCCATGTACAGCGAACAATGATTCTGGTGTAGTCGGCTATATCCGAAAGACAGGCTGGCACCCAAGGACCATGTAGTATACTTACTGGGTCGAGGGCAGCCTTCGTCGTCCTTTACTTCACGAAGGAGTGCGCGAAAGGAGCAGCCACCGCTGTGCGCTCTTTATAGTGTCCTCGTAGATTTATCACTGGTCCACTCGTATTTGTAATTTTACAGCCGGGGTCTCGATTATTCATTCGCTGCCTGAAATAGCTCTCTTATAAGCAAGGACGGGATGATTCCTTGCACGATTATTTTAACAGTCGACTCGAAGGACTGATTGAGAAGGTAGTCTAGGTACTCAAATAAAGAAAGCTAGTAGCCGGTAGCCGTCAGCCAGGGACGGAGCCCTTCATCAGTATATGCCTTTTCCGCCTGAAATTCGATGACTCACACGCACTCGAGTGTATGTATTTTTATGAGCAAATTTCTGATGCGCCACGTTATTTTTTTTCCATCCTGCCATGATGCTTGATATTCGCTCAGAACATATTCAGCAGCTTTCGTTTTTCATCTGTCGAGCCTGTCGTGGAAACTCGTCACTGTTGCTGGCGTGGATGTTCACCTTTCCCCAGCCACGTCGCAATCGAGAGAGTGGTCACACATGCCACATAGATAAGAGAAGTATACGCAAGGAGTAAATTGGTCGCGATTTCAAGTACGATTAGATCGACTCTGGTAAACTCTAATCTGGTAAACTACTTCGAATAAAATGTCTTGCCGTCGCTGGTTAACAGTTCGACATAGAGTCTTCCACGGTGTTTTGTTTTGCGCTGGTATTTGTCAGGAATGTAGATACACATTCAATTAAGCTTTTTATGGGTCGAAATTTATCGCACGATAGTCGTTCTCCGTGATTTATCTTACATTGCACCTCAGTGCAAAGCTTCTCAAAATTCCTCCTGCACGCATTGAACCAAAACGTTTCTCAAATGTCCCTGCGCTTCACAGTGCGAAGATCGACTCGAGGAAATGTCGCAGCAGCAGATTGTAGGAAAATCGTGTATGTTTGCCGATCGAAGGGCCGGAGCAGTGCAGCTCCATGTGCTTTCGAAGGAATGAGAGGAGAACTGCAGATTCAGTTAGCAATCTCACGCGGAGAAAGAAAGTTGGGGAGCGAGGGCCCCGGGAAACAGTTGAGCCGGAGGTCCCGTGTGTGTCGATCCCGACGGGCGTGTGCCGTTGCGGTTCAAAATTTAAAGTCGGGAGGAGAGTGACTGGCCTCCGGGCGAAGCGAGGGGGCTGCGCGGGGCGAGGAGGGGCTCTCACGTGCCGACGAGGCAGGCACGGTGGCACCTTTCTATCTTGTGCGCCTTCCCTTCCATCGGAACCGGTGGTGCCACGCAAGCGTGCGCGGGGCTGACAACCGCATCGGCGTCGAGTCTCGTTGCAAGTCGCAACTGCGTCGCGCAATCGCTTGCTCTCTGAATTCTTCGGCCTGGGCTGCCGATCGATCGGTCCGAGAAGCGGAGCACCATGGACAAGCTGCCGATCGAATTGATCCAGCGCATCTTCACCCTTCTGGATTATCGACCTCTGGCATCGGCTGCTAAAGGTTGTTCCTCTTCGTTGTCAGCGAATTCGGCCTTGATCAGTGCAATTCTCGATTTCAGCTTCAGTGCCTTTTTCTTCACACATGCCCGTCTTGTGTTGCTGATAATGACACTGGCCCAATTTCACACGTTGACTTCGTACATTGAGTCATCCATCATCATTATTGCGATCGAAGTCTTATCTCCCTAGATTTGTCGGAGTTCTGGCCCTTTCTGAGGTTCTGAGATAATGTCCGTGATGTGGATGCTCAGATTGAGGATTGATGTTTAGTGTTGATTGGGATAAATCAGAGTCCGTTCTAGGATTTTAGGGCGAGTGTACTCCGAAGATTGCATGCCGGAGCTGTTAGATACGGGATCATAGATGTGGACCTGGAAAGATATAATTAGTCGTCGATCATCCTGCAGTGGCTGGCCTTCTACCTCTCATAACCTGCGATCCCTTCCTCTTGAGGCTTGCACCTGAAAATTGAAGCTTCTCAGTGCTTGCTTTCGGGGTTGCTGATTTGTTTTAGGGTTGCAAATTGACTACAGTAAGTGGATGATATTTGTCAGGTAGGAGAGTCCAGTTTGAGGGTCCCATGATTTTTCTCTTGTCTGAACGAAATGTAGCGAGTGATCGCAGTGTGCAGAAGCTGGAGGCGTCTGAGCGATCAGGAAGAACTTTGGAAGAGCCTGTACAAGAAAAGATGGGGTTCAACTAAAGCTGCCAAAGTTGGTCTTGACATATCTGCATCACAATCGTGGAAATCAGCCTACGAAATTCAAGACCGATGGGATCGAGTTGGCGAGTTGAGTCACTCAATTTTCTCCAGACCCTGCTTTTATCTTGGCATGGAGCTTGTCCCCTCCTGCAGTGTTGTTTTCGAAGTGTAGGCAGGGCACCTTTTCCACCGACTGTCCCACATGCACGCACAAACGTTGAAATAACTGCGCGGATCTTCCCCGATCTTCCTCAACCCTCCCCGCTCTTCCAGGATGATTTGCATGGTCGTCCACAGTCCAATCGGAAGCTAGACACCGGGAGTACCCTGATGGTATGGATGCTTTGTAACAGGGAAATGACCATCGTTCGGGAAGGAAATGACTATTTCCTTGCACAGAAAGGGCTTCTGCTTCGGTTTCTAGGTTCCAGGAGCAGCAAGACAAAGGATGTGCGCCCGAAATGTGCCACTCCGGTACCACGCCAAGACACAAATCCTCGCAAGAGGGCCACGAATTGCTCCGAATCCGGAGTAAGATCCTCGGCTCCTGGCCTTTTGGATAAGCTTATTCATTTTGTAGCGGACATGGACTACGAGCATCGGCGTCTGAGCAAGCGTGCCCATGTCTTAGATCAGCCCTGAATACATTCTGAATTATCCAAATGCCTGTCAGTGAGAGCCCAGAAGTTGTTCATAGAGATGATCCACAGGAACATCTACGTCTCAGATTGTAAATACGCCTTTCTGTTGTATAGAAGATCGACACATCTTCAGAGAGCCATGCAAGGCCTGCAGGCCTGCAGGCGACTCATCATGACCTTGTGTGTGATAGGGACATGTGATATGTATAATTTTTGTACTCACAGGTCGGATTCGTGTACGATGCCTTCGTTTGCCAAGCAGGGCAGGCCGGGCAGGTGCACGAGGCACGACGTAGGCCTGCTCGATGTGTTGCGAGCTTTGTGTAATACTTCACTACAATTCTTACTTCCCTGGAACTGTTTTATACTTTGTAACTATATCCCCTGTATCCTGTCTCGTACTGTCAATTTGCTCACGGCCCGCTTTTTGAAAATGACCTTACATGTCTTGCGTTGATGTATATTATTATTATTTTTATCTATTCCTGAAGGCTGGGAGATTCTGCCCTGAAAACCAACCAACCATCCATCACTGCAGTGGTGAGAAAGTGCTTGGCTCCTGCTGCCGGTTGGATCAGTCGCCAAGGACTGATGTTTTAGGAGCAGGCATTGTTTGACTGGATGTGTCCCGGTTGTATCAATGGCTTGACGGGTTCATCTTGATTTTGATGAGAAAGTGCTTGGAGTCTGGCCTGGCCTGTCACTCATGTTCCTGTGCAACATATTTGATTCAAGTGTGCTGAATTTGTAACATAACAGTAAAAGATCTATTCATTAACATTTTCTATCGTCGGATGGACCATATAATCCAGTGTATCCCAGCCCATGGCCTCTTTTGGGTTCACTCGGAGCTTTTGCACTAATTGTCGTATTGTGTACATGCACTCCTTTACGTGACACCTGGTTGAAAAGATTGTGCACCGTCCCGTTTTTTATTTTTGTCACCAGAGGAATGTACATACACTATTAAAATTGAGTTATGGTAATCTCTATGTCCAATACAAGGAGACCTTAAAAGGTCTAAAGCGGAAGACGGTCGAAGAATTATAATATAAGAAAGCGATTACTGAAGATTTGAATTCTTCGGGAATGAGACTAAAAGACTGTTCAGAATGGAAGGTTTAAGTTCCAAAGAGAATTGATGACTTAGCACGAAGGATCAATAAGAGAAGTGATGAAAATGATGCTCACTTTTCAACACCTTCTGTCTCACCACTACATTGTTCACTACAAGGAAGAAGTAATGTGTATTTTATATATTACATTCTTCTAAGAACTACAACCTCTAGGTATAAATAATAAAGTAAAGACAAGGTTATCTAAGCAAACCAATGATACATATACAAGCGTATACTTTTCAAGAGTTGTTTGTAGATTATTTAGAATATATGTAAGTTTACTTTATATATAAATTCCTATAGCCTAGATGTCAAGAAGTGTGAATTAGACAAACAGTATATATCCAGTGAATTCAGTGAATGTCAAAATGTGATGGAATTATTCCATCAAGTTAAATAATGGAAAATCTCGTAGTGAAATCTAAGGTCACAATGATTGATATCATAACATCAAGAAAGTAACAGATATCATACTGAAGTAATTTACAGAGCATTGAACACAATAATAATATAGTTATCTTTATATGTAGAATATTAGTTAGTGCTCTATAATTATGAGCGGATTTGGAAAAAAATATTTATAAAAATCACTATAGATATCTAGTGCTAAAATAAAATAAATGTTAATTTTCGTTATATGTTGAAATTGAAGTAAACTCAAAATCTCGAATGATTTTATTCATTATATTTTATCTAGTATTTTCAAATCTCAACTTTTTGAATACAATCTCAATAAAACTGGCAGAGATTCAATTTCTAGTTTCAAATAAAAGCCAATTTTCGTTTTCCCGTGTAAAGAGAAATATATTTACTTTGAAATATAGATAATACCCATACATCATGCAAACAAAGATATTTATAACACTTAAAGGTCTATTTTGTTTATTACACTTAGATTTAAATAATTTCACAAAGATCATTAATCAGAGTTACATGTAAATAAAATTATATTACTCATAATCAGTTTTTAAGAATGTTTCAAAAATGTTAGTCGCTATATCACATAATATCCCTGAAAATTGGGGCCTGGTCTCGTAATAACATCATTGCCATGTCACGAAGGATAAACTGAACCCTCGGTTGAATTTGAAAGGGCTACATCATCCTTTCCTTTTGTTTATGGACTCGTCCCTTGGGATATGTCAGAAAGTATTAGATGTCTTCACAATTTCGAAACTTGGCAGAACCTCTTACATGCAGCAATATATGCATTGCAAACATGGAAGGAACAGGTCGAGAGCGAGTGTTGATGTCAGAAGAAGATGTTGGGAACCGTGTTCATTTAGGGCGGAGTTGTGTCACCAACATTTCTCACCGTCATCACCATCCGCTTGGCTGACCCATCATCATACTCTGTGTGCATGATTTTACTCGCCCAAACCTCGTCACGGCGACTAGTGATGTCACATCACTGATGTCAAATGGAATCTGCTCATCACTTCCGAGTCCTCTGCGTGAGCACGATACGGGCTGCAGCTTCTGCTCTTGATAATCGCAGCCTTAAATAAACCGAGTCCAGATCCTCTCTGTTTACTCCGTTAATTTTGTGTCTCAACTCTCGAGCGAGTGGTTGCATACACATCTACCGAACACGCGTAATTTTGTAACCGTGCTCCTCCACCTGAAGAAAGAATCAGGGCGATACTGTGTAGTTATGCGAAAAAGTCGATGGCTGACTGACAAAAGGTGCTCAGAGAAGGCTGGCAATGCTTTGCTCTCCACAATCTAATGGCTCAATATTTTGCTTAGAATGATCCAAAATCTTCCCCATCAACGCAGGCAACCATCCTGCAGGAAGAGTGACCAGGAAGCAAAGACATCATCATCGGCAGGAATGACAAATATCACACAGACACAGAGGACTAAATGTGATATTCAGACATGAGGAACCTGATAAAACGAGGCCTCTGGAGAATTCTCTCTTCAAAGAGCTCGAAGGAGATGGATCGGTAAAAACGACAGATCAGACTTGAGAGCACGCTTCGAGCTCTTATAATGAACTCAACATACACAGCGACAATTATGGTCCAGAATATACAGCACAACATAACCCGGCCAAGGGTTCGGCAAGGGTTTCAGCCACACCGAGCGTCTGAACAGGAGATGGTGGATGGGAAATTACACCACATCAGCGAACAAAATTCATGAGCATATCTGCCTCGAGGTGAGAAGGTAGCCCTCGTACCACCTTGGCTATGGCAATTTGCAAATTTTACAGTGTAAATATGGGCTTCGGTCCTGCCCATGAAAGCAGAGAAGCCGCAGTACGATCTCTTTGAAAATTGGGAACATGCAGAGAGCTCTACATAGGGCACACTGCAAAAGTGAATTAGGTGTTGAACATCCTTCTCCTTGCAGTTCGAACATTCGCTAGTCTGAGAAGCCCAACGGACCATGCAAAGTGAACAAAGTGAACTTTCGATCAGCCGTGAACAAGAACAGGCAGAGGAAGAGAGATCCCTAGGACAATTATCAGTCTCTCTCCGAGATTGGGCTCCCTCCCACCGCGTGCAATCACCAGGTCTTCGGCAAGGCTAGATTCAGGCATCGCAGGTCCCGTGGAGAAAAGAGGTCGGAGCAATCGATCGCAAAGGAATTTCGAGCGTCGAGGGCTTTCACTTCTTACTCGCGTATCAGTAGGACTTCTCAGAAATCAGAGCATCGCCCGCCTTTCTCCCAGTCTCCGTATCTCGTCGGCTCGGGGCCTCTGGGCCCTCCTATTTCTCCCGTTTCCTCGTTCACAAACTCGTTGCCCTCGCCCTCGCCCTCGCCCTCCTCGTCCCCATCGACGGGAGCAGCCGCAACCGGTTCATCGGCCTCGACTGATTTTCGCACGTCTTCCTGAGGCTGCGATTCGTCCTCCTCCTTGCTGGACACTGCGAACATTCTCGTGCTGGCCACGGAGCGGCAGAGCGCCGCAGAAGTCCGGACCAACAGATCGCCCGTCGACCCCCGACACTTGGACATGACACTTGTTCCTGCCATCTCTCTCTCTCTCGCTCGATCCGCCACTCTCGTTCGCTGCCTCTGTCTGTCTCTCGTCCCCCACTCGACCTTCGCTCTCTCCTTCGGTCCGCAATGCGCCACGGCCTCAGCACTGTTGCTGCGACGGGCACACGTTGATTTGTGCGTACGCGCTTCGGTACCACTCTTGTACTCCGCGAACAGCAACTGTCGGTTCTGGAACTTGTCGACAGGAATGTCAACGAGGTGAAGTTTACGCTTGCCATGTGGAGATCATGAAGTGTTTACTCTTGAAAGTGGAATTCCAAGACGGGAGGAACGAGGAAATTTCGACGCTGTAGGATCCATATTGCTATATTATGACTATTGAGACACTTTTTGTGTCGCATATGTGGTGGATCTTATACACCCTACACTCTAGGCTAAAATTTTGCAATTCTCGCCTTAAATTATAAATATTTATATATCATTATAATAATTATGTAAAATATATAATCATGTAGCATAGTTGATTTCATAACAATTGAAAATCTTTGATTTTTTTTTGCCAATAGTTAACATGGACAAGATGTCTGGGCAAGGTTTTGATTTATAATTATGTACATATCATAATGATAATTATGTAAAATATCTCATCTTGTAGCATAGTTGATTTCATAACAATTAAATAGTTTTAATTTTTTTGGCAATAGTTCACTCTGATGTTCAAGATGTATAGAGTAGAAAATTAATTGATGAAATTACATCGTAACACAAATCATTTACTTGGACACATCAAGTTTGAATGGTACCCAAGTTCTAAAACCTGTTCTTGTACATGTATGTGGGTTTATAAACTCTGAAAGTATATAACTGATTTCTGAGATGTTCCATTTGATGGTCCGCTCGTGAGAAGCCGGATTTCTTTATGGAGCGAAGGTGGAGACATTGAAGCTTGAGTTTTATGGGAGGGAGGCTTGTGGCTTTCGAGCAAATTGCTCATGTACATACTGAGGTGCATTGTTTTGAGCTATGTGCGGAGAAAGTGGAAATTGACTGCAGTCTCGGTTGACACTAAAACATGGGTGATGTCTACCTAATAGATCCAGTAATTAATTTATGTTAAGATGGGATCCCATCAAGAACTTACCTCCTGGATAAAGAGAAGACTTGGACCTCTATTCCAGTGAATACTGATACAGAGCAAAATTAGATGAGATTTTCAAAAGGAAAAAGAGATGAAAACATTAGGTGAAATTGTATCTATTTGCTATTTACATAGTCTTCATTAACAGAATTGAAGCAAATACTCGACAGGATATACCGAACGCGACTGGATATCATGTTATTGGACTATCCTGCTCCTGGTTTTTACCACTTGCGTGCAAGAGTGATTTTGGAAGTGGTAGCCAGATGGAGTCCCATGGGCTTTGATGAAGTACAATGACCGGGGCCCAACATCGTTACACAAACTTTTCATTATAATCTGGTTCACATTTCACGACACATTATATATTGCAACGATCGAGTACCGTGCAATCCGTCACTTATTGGCACGATTGTTTCCTCTGCGGAGAGTTTGCAGTGGCAGAATTCATCCTAATACGCGAGAGTCGAAAACCCTCACTCAGAGAACCTTCTCGTGCCGCTTGCAATAGACATCGGGTAAATGTCCATCCACCTGCCCGGGTCAGTAAATTGAACTGGTTCCATGATGGTTCATGTTTCGCGAACTGTGAGCGCAGTCGACAATGCAGAAGAAAGAAGAGCTCACAGAATACAAGAGGAAGATACTAACCTGGAGATAACATGGGAGTCCTATGTGCCCAATTGGCACGTAATCCGACATACAACTTTGTACAAGAGTATGACCGCACTGGGAGCCCTGAACTTCTTCAGATGCAACGCGTGTTGCTGGCTGAGACTACCTCTCTGTAGTGGAAAACATATGTCACGGAATTGAGATTAGCTGCCCTGTCTCAAACTCGCTAGGGTGTCTGGCTGTGACCCTCATGCTGCTGCCCAGAAACTGGATAAATGCTTACCGTCCTCGATGGCTCCACGTCCTTACAACTGAGAAAGAAAAATTGAGAGAGAAAACAGCTCAAAAGCAAAGAAAACGGACAAAGCTCTTCAAAATCAGGTGATAAATCTGTTCTTGATTTCTTGATGGCAAAATTTACAATTTCGTATTTGATCTGAAAAGAAACTCTACACTATAACAAATTTGAGTGTTCAGACATGCAGTCCCATCTTCGCCTCCTGCAATTTACTTACAGTCGGCCGACATAATCTGGCTCTAAAACATCTGCACCCGGTTCCCCTAAATGAAGCCAGCCTGACTATCGGACTAATTCTCTACGCAGAAGTAACATCACGGGTCGCAGCCTCGCTTCTCAATGCAGCAGGCAGACGTGAATGCCACACTAGCTACCTACAGACGACATCTACGACGACGACTTTCTCTTGAGCCCTCTCGATTCTGAGCTCTGCTCGTCCATCATCGAAGCGACTTCCTCCGCGGAGATGCTGCCGTGGATGATTTCCGAGAGATGGAGCCAGTCGAAGCAGCGCGGCAGGGGATCGGACATCGAGGGCCGGGAGTCGTGATTCCAATACGTCAGGTCGCGGAACTGGGCGAGAGTCTGCCAGTCCTCGAATGCGCCGTCGCGAGCGCCGCTCGAGGTCCTGGAAGAGTCCTTGCCGAGCACGAGGCCGCGGTAGCGGGGCGGCAGCGCCAGGGCCGCGCCCTGCAGCCCGCGGCCGCGGAAGGCCGCCTCCTGGACGCGCAGGGCGCCGTAGTCGCTGCTGGCCTCGCCGCCCGCGGCCGGAGTGAAGAAGGTGGACACGGGCGCGCGCCCGTTGTGCCCGATGCTGCAGGGCAGCAGGTGCACGCGCCCGCTCACATCCTCGCAGTCCTCCGTCCCGCGCACCAGCGCCTCCGCGGCCCCTCGCTGCTGCTCGTGCTGCTGCTGCATCCCTGCGCCAGCCGCGATTGTGCGCGGCTCGGCCTCGACCTCGCTTGCTCCGCCTCCAGATCGACCCAAATTCGCTCGATGTCTCTGCTCTGATCTAATCTGCTAGCGCTGCATCGGCCGTGTCTTCGTAGAGAGACAGAGAGTACCCGTCAATGTTGGGGATCATTCGTGTACCCATCCGTGACCGCGAAGCGAACCTAGTCTTTGCATCGTATCAACGTTGGCAGATTATTGTTCCTTTTTGGATGAAAGAAATTCTATCACCATCTGGAATCAAATTGATGTGTCCCACGATGAGTAAAAAATTTGGCCGCATTACTACCGAGGAGTCAGTTTTTAATTGGTTGATTAGTATATTCTATTACCAACAACAAAAGTTTCTATGCATAAAAGTACTTTGTCAAATTCAAAGAGTCAAATTGTGAAAGATATCCATACTTTCAAAGAACTCAATTTAAATTATGAAATTTTGATATGTATTGTTGTAGACAGAATTTACGACTAGAAGCATATCCATCCACTTGTACTTGATGTAGTATTATAAATATTGCTTCAATACTTGATTCACTCATTTGTATATTCTTATATTGATGATAAGCCAATGATAAATTAATCTTTAATTGGAAGATACTCAAGACATTGTCAAAACTTGGACTTGAAATGCTTACAACAATATGATTTGTGTCATCTTTGTCAAACGGTACACCAACAAAAAAAACTTAATCCAAAGATTTGAACTTTGAAAGTTTCACAATGAAATTCCATAGGATTTTTGGAATCAAAAAATGCTTGAAGTAACTAGTGTAACCAATGTTGAGAATTCTTGGATCTAGAGCATGTGTCACATATTGTGATATATTAATTCACGTTTTTCCACATTTGATGTCATCAAAAGTCTATATATCAACTCCAAAATCTTGTTGTAAACAAAGTGTTTCACACTTGGAGAGTCATGTCAAGACTGGAGTTCTCGGAATCAACATGGACCTTAAGGAACATAAAATATTTATTGCTTATATAATTGTCAGTCTTGCAGTTTGAACATTGCATCAGCATTAAGCAATTTGGAAACCATGGAATTTGAAGTGATTGATTTGAGGATTCCAATTTTATAATTTTTGAATATGAACTTGGATATATTTTAATATTGAAGAAGCCAGCATTATTGTTCAATTTCAAGATCAAAGAATTTGATTCTAAATCTACTCAAATATCTTGGAAAAAATGTACATACATCAAAGTTGTCGTGCGCACAATTTTCAATTGAAGTTGTTTATGCTTGATAAGAGTATTTTTTATATTCCATGTACTTTCTTGGATGCAAAGTATATTCATTCAAAAATAACTTCAACCAAAGTTACTTAAAAACTAAGTTGAAGCGCAAAAGCAATATACTTTAATGAGCTCATTGTAGATTCAATACCATGTCTTTCAAGGTATTGAAAGACATGAAGTATATAGAGTTTTTGTGATTGGTATAGATAGTGACCTGATGTTGCGTTCTTTCAAGAAGATGCAATGAAAATGATTGATGTGACTCTTGAAACAAGTCAACCATGGCTAAGATCTATAATAATTTATCTCAGTAGCAATAAAATATTGTAAGTGAGACACTACAAAATGGAAGCATACGTCTTTCTTGAGTTGTAAGAAAATTTCTTCAAATGGAGAATCAAAAGCATATGTTTCTAGGAAAACCAAAACATGTTTTCATTGCTTCAACCCGTAAACAGGGAATATTTCAATGAGGAATATTATAGTGGGGAATATTTCCGGAGTAAATATTCCAAGCAATGGAAGCCGCAAAGTAACCACAGAGTCCGGTGTAGACAAAATTACAGCACACATATTGAACGAGACCTTGATGTATGCATATAGAGTTCCAGCGCACATCATGTCCTCTTTTACCCGCATTCAATTTTCGGATCTAGGGCTCAATGGGGCCAAACGTACCCAGCATTGGAGCTAGGGCCAATCTTTTCTTCCTCCGTATCAGGCGATCATTCTTGCAGTGTACCTTCAAGCGGTCCCATGTATCATATATCCACCCCGTTGCACACGGAGGGAACTCCCTTGCAGGGCCCACGGCGCGTCTCAGAGCAGGGGGTTCTTCTTCCCAGCAGGAGGTGGGGATTTGATCTTGGTCAAGTTACCATATCCTGTCCATTTTATCCAGGTCTCCCAAGACTGCGCCCAGCACGGCATAGGGATCTTCGTTATGCATCACAATTTTGCAGAAGGCCAATATCACAGTTGGCCAACTCATTGCTTTAAATCCAGCCATACGGAAGGAGTTGAGAGGAGGCCCAAGGATCAAGAAGCGAAGATCCAAGGGAAAGGCTCACATGACTAATGTGGGAGTTGGTGTGATGGATGTTGCTGCCTCGGAGGTATGTACACATGCCTCAAAGATCGAAGTGAGGATCGATGGGCATGATGTTTCAGACGTGCTAGTAGATGGTGGTTCTGTTATAAATGCAATGTTTGAAAGATTGTTGATGAAGTTGGGGATGCGACTTTCCAGACCTTCAAGTATAATTGTTGGTATGGCCAACAAACAAAAGGTAAAACCACTTGGTGTGGTTGACAAAGTTGTGGTAAGTGTGAGAGGTGTGCAAACCTTACTTTACTTCCAAATACTCAAGGAAGCTAGTTATGATTTGCTGTTGGGACGTCCTTGGTTGAGGGCGGTGAGAACTACTGATCGATGGCACAAGGGCTATCTGAGGATAGGTCCAAAGAACCATCGGGTGAAGGTTCCTTTGACAGGAGGAGGAAGTTCTCTTACCGACTCAGATAGACCAACCGACGAATATTGGGAATCTGAGAGTGAGGAGAGTGGCAGTTTTTCAGAAGTTGACACCGACATGTCAACTTCTGATCAAGAAACATCGTCAGACGACTCTTCAGATGATGATGTACAAGTTCAAGTGGTTACTGCCATGGAGTTGCTTCCTAGACCGGGGGTGAAGAAAGATCCGGACAAAGTGGAGATGAGCGAAGAGGAGGTGTGTCGAAGACTTTCCACCCTCAAGTTTGGTCCAAATGTTATCATGGAGGAGAAGGCAAGATTTTTGGATATATTTCGCAAATATATCCATGTCTTTGCCTTTAGTTACAAAGATTTGAAGCATGTGACACTTGAAACTCATCACATTGAGTTGGAGGAGAAAGCTCGCCCTATTCGGCAGAAGCAACGACGAATCAATCCTCCTACAGCTGTGGTGGTAAAAGAGGAGATTGACAAGCTGAGGGAGGCTGGCTTCATCTATGAGGTAGAAAATTCGGAATGAGTGTCCCCTATTGTGATAGTGAAGAAAAAGAATGGTAAACTACGTGTATGTGTAGATTACAAGAAGTTGAATGCTGTCACAAAGAAGGACTACTATCCTTTACCTTTTATAAATGAGATTTTAGAGGAGGTAGCAGGCCATGAGAGGTATAGTTTTGCATATGGTTATAGTGGCTATAACCAAATCCAAATTGCTTTAGAGTATCAATTGAAAACTACCTTTACCACACAATGGGAAACTTTTGCCTTTAGAGTAATGCCATTTGGTCTATGTAATGCTCCAGCCACTTTCCAAAGGTTCATGAATAGGGTGTTTGAACCTTTCATTGGAAAGTTTGTGAGAGATTTCATAGATGACTTTTGTGTGTACAGGAAGGAGTATCATTTTGATCATTTGATCAAAATACTCCAACGTTTGGAGGAAGCCAAAGCTTCACTCAATCTAGAAAAATGCATTTTTGGATGTGAGGAAGGCTTATTGTTGGGGCACATAATTTCCAAGAATGGTATAGCTGTGGATCCAGAGAAGGTGACGAGGATCATGGAGTTAACTTTTCTGGTGACGTTGACCAAGTTGAGACAATTCCTTGGTATGGTGGGGTACTATCGGAGGTTCATCTTGTCCTTCTCCAACAAAGCTCATGCCTTGACGAGTCACATGAAGAAGTGGACCGAATACGAGTTCATCTTCAATGATGAAGAGGCGAAGTTGGCGTTTGAGACACTCAAGAAGGCGTTGGTGACGGCTCCAATTTTGACAAAACCTGATTGGGGTAAACCTTTTCTTCTGTATACAGATGCATCAAATATTGCCGTAGGATGCACCTTGAGTCAATTTGATGATGAAAAGCATGATCATGCAATTGCCTATGCTAGTAGACATATGGTACAAGCAGAGAAGAATTATTCAGTGACCGAAAGGAGGCTTTAGCTGTCATCTTTTCACTTAAGAAGTTTCGACACTATCTTTTGGGTGGAAAATTCACTATAGTGACTGATCATAAGGCCTTGAAATATATTTTCAACAAGCCTAATGCTGATGGGAGGATAGCTAGATGGAAACTTCTACTAGCGGAATTTGATTATACTATTGAGTATCCACCGGGAAAGAAGCATGCTAATGCGAATTTGTTGTCAAGAGCTTATGATGAGGGAGGAGATCGATCTGTGGATGATACTTTTCCGGACGAAGATTTGTTGGTCATGGACACGGTGACATTGGTACCAGCGAAGTACAAAGAGATTTGGGAGTTCATCTCCAAAGGAGAATTTTCTCAAGGTATGCATTCAAGAGAAAGGAATGCATTGGTAAAAAGATGTCAACCCTATATGATCATTGCGAAGGTGTTATTTCATTGTTGTGTGGCCGGTGCATTGTTGTTGTGCCGAACTCCATCATGTTGTCGAGGGTTAGGACAATTCCTCTGAAAATGAGGACCTCCACAAGAAAAACAAGAAACCGCAAAGTTTCCTGAAGGTGGATTTCCTCTTGGAGGATAATTTCCATACCCCCTAGAGCCTCCTCCTACGTTCTGATTCCTCTTCTCCCACAACTGTACTACATTGATTTTGAGGTCTGCTAGAGTCTCCGTGATAGATTTCAACTCATTTTGAAAATCCACACTAGGATTCGCTATCGTGGATGAAGTAGAAGTGTTTGAAACAATGGAACTTCCTACAACCGGTGGAGCTACTTCTCTAGCCACCAAGCTAGAATCATCATCTTCTAAGCTCTCCTCCATTCTAATAGCAATTCGAATGGCTTCAGCCTTAGAAGAGGGCTTCTCGTATCTCACCTTACTTCGAATCTCAGGTCTCAAACCTCCAACAAAGTTCTTCATGAGCATCGCCCTTATCCCCACCATTG